CTACTCTGCACCCAGTTCGCAACTACTCGAGGGGGTGTGAGGGGAGGAGGGGTAGATTTCACTCATACAGAATGGGAAGTGATTGGGAAGGAGTACTGCAGAAAGGGATCTAGGGGTCACAGTGGATCACAAGCTAAATATGAGTCAACAGAGTGATACTGTTGCAAAAAAAGTAAACACGATTCTGGGATGCATTAACAGGAGTGTTGTGAGCAAGACATGAGAAGTCATTCTTCTGCTTTACTCTACGCTGATTGGGCCTCAGTTGGAGTATTGTGTCCAGATCTGGGCACCACATTTCAAGAACTGTGGAAAAACTGGAGAAGGTCCAGAGAAAAATATACAAAAATGATTAAAGACCTAAGAAACATGAACTATGAGGGAAGACTGAAAGAACTGGGCTTGTTTAGTTTAGAAAAGAGAAAACAGAGGGGACATGAGAGCAGTTTTCAGGTATCTAAAAGGATGTTACAAGGAGGAGGGAGAAAAATTGTTCTCCTTGACCTCTGAGGATAGAACAAGAAGCAATGGGCTTAAATTGCAGCAAGGAAGGTTTAGGTTAGGAAGTTTTTCCTAATGTCCAACTGTCAGGGTGGTTAAACACTGGAATAAATTACCTATGGAGGTTGTGCAATCTCTATCACTGGAGATAGTTAAGGGCAGTTTGGATAGACATTTATCAGGGATGATCTACACAGTGCTGGAGGGGACCCCTGGTAGTCTGCAGCAGTATTGGAGGAGATTTGTGGAATGTTTAAAAATAAGGATCAGGCCTACCTCGGTGGGCCCAATCCTTACTTTTCTTTTTCTTTCCTTACTTTTCTCTTTCTTTTTTTCTCCTCCAGAAAGAGGGGTCCATTAAATTTTAATAGATTGAAAAGGGGTCCATATGCTTGAGAAGGTTGGGAACCGTTGATTTAGACAGTGCTTGGTCCTGCTTTGAGGGCCAGGGACTGGACTTGATCTATCAAGGTCTCTTCTAGTTCTAGTATTCTATGATTCTATGATGTGAGTGTGTGACTGATATATATATATATATATATAAAAGGTACCAACATTTTAAACTCTACTGGGATGAGGGATAGAACTGATATGGATGGGGGTGGTGCATGCCCGGGGCCGGCGCTCCCCCCCTCTCCCGCCGAGCCTGGAGTCCCATCAGCAGAGGGATGGAATTGACCTCCCCTGGTGCAACAAACTCCCTCATTCGGGACCAGTCAGGTCCCGAGGGTGCTGGACCAGGGAGGTCCAACCTGTACAGTTAATTCCCATTCATTTAATTGGAACTGGGGAGCTCAGCAAGAAGTATTCAGCACTTAACAAGGCTGGGCCTGCAGTGAGGAAGCCTGTGCCATTGGTGGATGTTACTTTTCATGCTAGCTTGTGTGCACACTGGAGCATAATTCTCCTTCTCACTCACTTTGACTGTGCAGATTGATCCTAATAATGCTTAATTAACTGTTTCCATCTTCATAATTAGTTTACATATTTTAGAAATTTATATTGTAAAGGTATGAATGTGAGTAGTTGATGGAAAGGAGGTGTCATGTTCTGTGTCCACAGGAAAAGATACACAGACCGCAGCAAATGAGTTGGATTTAGATTGCAAACTTTTCCATGTGGGTGACAAAAGGGTGGTGGAAGAGGTTTATGGATGATACAGATACGGAAAAAGCAGGGAATGAAAGGAGTGGTGACGGATCAATGATAATCATACAGCAATCAGAAAAAAATGGTGTGTAAAGAAAACAAAATAAATCCACTGAAAGTAAATGAAAATACAAAGAAGCAAATTGAGCTGCCACACAGGCAGTAAAGAACACTAAAGAGCGCCCAAGATGATTTGTATACCCACCTTTAAAATGACCCCTGGTGGCTGACAAAAAGACCTATAGCATTATAAAAACAAGTCGCAGAGGGAAAAAGGATGGCAGTGTAACACCACTGATAAATGATAAGAAGAGACTGTTAGAAGTTGTGGCAAAAGACTTTGGGAGTCTCTTAAATGAGGCCAACACTGTCACAGAGTTGCCAACATGTGGTATGTGAACTTGGCATAGCAGAGGAGATGAAAAATGCTGACCAGGAAATGAAAACCAGTATGCTGGTGGGAACTGATGAAGTGGGCCTGGCGAAAGTCTGCGGGGAAAGAGAGATCTAAGATGGATGAGCAGAGAGTCATTAAAGCTGCATGGCAAGAAAAGAGCTAAGTCCCAGTAAGCGGAAAAGCATCCCTGATGGCTATATGCAATGAGACAGAATGAAGGGCACCTTTAAATCAAAGAAGATCTAGCAGAAATAGCAAGCCTGTGGTATGACCATCTAAACTGGCATGGCATGAAAATGAACATGAATAATATTGAGGACCTTGGAGTCAGTAGGGGTGCCCCACAGAAATGAACTAATTCAGTTCCAATGCTTTAGCAGCTTGGCCACAGAGGATGATGAGTTTGAACATGAGTGAGGAGTGCTGTCAGAGTGTGGAAAGACATCAAGGGTTGTATGTGACTAGCATATGCCACTGGGACTGAAAACACAACTGTATAGAACGATACTGCACCCTGCAATATTTATGGCACAGAAGCATGGGTGATAAAGAGATCATGAGTTCAATGCTTACAGGTATTTTGAGATGCGACGTCTGTGCGCCATAAGAAGAGTTATACAAACAGACATTTAAAATTGAAAGTATTAGGATGAAAGTCAAAGTCCATGAGGGAGCTGACAAAGTCCAGGAAGTGTGACTTCACTGGTTTGGACTCAAGCAGAGGGGCTATGTCTACACTACAAAGAAAAGTCAGACAAACATACACAAATTGCAAACTGCAATTTGCTATCTTTTTCCGCTTTTCTTTCAAAAGAGGCTTCTCCGAAATTTGGTGCATCTACATAGCACTAAATTTTGGAAAAACCTCCTCTTTCGAGACATCACTTCTTCCTCGTGAAACGAAGTTTACAGGAATGGCGAAAGTGTGCATCCGCTTTTCCAATTTTTTTTTCAGAAAAGCAGATGCTTTCCTTGGACGCAGCATAGCTTTTCCGGGATACCGGAAAAGAGCTGCAGTCTAGACATAGCCAGGATGAGTGAAGGAGACCTGCAGAAATAGCCTGGTAGGTGTGGGTGGAAAGAAAGACACTGAGGAAAGCTGAGAAAGCTGGTTGGATTGCATTAAAGAAGATGGAAAGCAGGTGAATTTTAGTGCTGCCTTGGACAGATGAAGATGGGATGCTTGCATGAAGGTAACCCCAGTGGATGGAACAAGCAGAAGAAGATAATTTATATTGGATTGCGTACACCTTCAAAAACAGCTGTTTTGTTTAGCATCTCATCACTATTTCCCCAAAGTTAATTGAACATATTACTTAAATAATATTACATCTCAAGAAACCTCCATAAACACCAATGTGGAGCTAGAAAGAGTTTTATAGATGGTATCATACCGGATTACAATGGGTACGTCTACACAGCCGCCTTATTTCAGAAGAACTGAAGTTCTTTCAAAATAACAAAGTGTGCATCTACACTACAAGCCATTATTTCTAAATAATGTTGAGATGAAGGACTTCTTACTTTGACTTCTGTATCCCTCTTTTCACAAGGAGTAACAGAAGTCGAAGGAAGAGTGTTCTTCCTTCGACTTCCTGTTGTGTAGACAGCACCAAAAGCCAAATTAAGCTATTTTTACTTTAGCTACACAACTGATGGAGCTGAAGTTGCATAGCTTAATTCAACTTTTACCCTTCAGCAGAAGTGCTCAATAATATTAACTTTGCCAAAGATTTTTACAGAACACCAACTGCTAGAACTCACTTCTTATAGAATTAAATATTGTAATTTGACTTTGATTATATCCTTTTTAGGACTTAAAAAGTATCTGCTTTTTTTTTTGCACTCAGGAATATTATGGGCTGCTTATTCTTACTATAATAAATAGTAATTCTGCATACTTGATATTGGATCATAACATCTTGACTTACAAGGCAATTTTCACAATGCCCTTTTCATGATCATCAAACTGGGGGCTAGATTCTGATTCTCTCACATAGGGCTCATATCTACAGAGTGCTTAACTCTCAATAAGCTATGCAAATTGAGCTACATCCATTGTGACGCTTATTTTGAAACAACTTATCTCGAGTTTAGTGCTTTCTACAAAGCATTTCTTTCAAAATAGAGCACTCTTCCCCCGACTTCCCCGACTCCTCATAAAACAAGGTTTACACAAGTAAGAAAATAAGAAGTCCTCCAACTTGACAACATTTTGACATTATGTCAAAATAACTTCCGGCTGTGTAGATGCAGACTATGTTATTTCAAAATAATACTAATTATTTTGAAATAAAGATGCTATGTAGACATAGCCCTAGAGTCCTACTGATAAAACTGATAAGTGGTGTAATTTCAGTTGAATCAATGACTCCACTGAAGTCCATTTGACTTCAATAGGACTACTGTATTTGTGAGACTAAAGAGATTTGGCACTTTGTTGGAATTTTTAATTGAGAAAATCCTTTCCTTTATCAATAGGGGAGAATAGTAGCTCAAATTTGCAAGTAAAGTGGTGGAAAACTAATATCAAACATACCTGGATAGTTTAAGATCTGAGGATATTTTCTATCTAGACATATTTAATTACTGCCCTTAGTTTAGCTCAAAATTTCATGTCCAGCAAAAATGAGCGGAGATTTCTTTATATTTTGTAATGTAGATTGTCTAATTTCCGTAGAAAAGAGATATTCTTGATTAATATGAGAGTCTCACAGTGATCTTCCTATTGGTTTGGATTGTGTTGGTATTCCAAAAGCGATTTTGTATCTCTCTCCTCTCTTGGAATTTACAAGGTTTTGCTAACATCCCTTTAGGAGGTAGTCATTGCCCTCTACTGGCAAGTACTGCAAGTAATCACTAATGAATGGAAGTCCAATAAAAATGCTTATATTTTTATTTGAATAGATTCAGCTTCCTCCAACAAATTGTGTTACATTTTTCTTTTCTTCAGCAAATATTGTAACATCCAGATCAACAGTTGAAAAATCTTCAGGAACGATTTCTGGTAAGCAAATCACTAACTGTAACATTCTGTTTATTGCGAATTCATGGCAAACAAGCATGGACCTCATGTTAACTGAAGTAATGCAGAAATCCTACTGTGTAAATAAGCTGCAATATTTCTTCACTCTAGTTTTACTTTTTCATAAGAATAAAATTATCTGCACCATCTAGACAAATACTTTTCTTAGTGGAATCATTCCAGTTTAGTGCTAGCTCTTATCAAGAATGGAATGATTCATGTTTCCTGGCCAATAGCCTTTGACAGCCTACTAAATAGTGAATAATTAATGGAGGAAGGAAAGGATGGTGAAAACAATGTGTAAATTTCCCCCCACCTCCCACCCCACAAACACACCTGGTAGAAATACCTGATATTTGATGCTGTGCAAAAAACAGAGACTGAACAAGCCTGTCTCATCTACAGGTAGTCCCACAAGAAAAACAAAAGCACTAATTTTATGCCTCTTTCCTAACCTTCTCCCCTTTTGCAAATAAATGTAGCAGTGTATTTGTTTTGGGAATACAGAGAGGACTTCACTTACCTTGACCAGCAACACACAGTTCTGCCAAATAACAAACAAATGTAAAAATAAACCTATCAGAGTCCCACTTGTAACGGATAGTATCTAACCCTAGCTAGAACACAGTGAGAGATGCCTTTTGCACAAACAGTAGCTATTAGTTTAACATCACAGGATCATTTTGTCAGATTTCTGTCCCATTTTGAGACCTAATGAAGAAGACTGTGTCGTTCAAAAGTTTGCCTCTCTCACTAACAGAAGGTGGTTCAGTCAAAGATCTTATCTCACCCACTTTGTATCTGTTTTGTACTGTGGCTTTTGCTTCTACTTCCCCCCTTTTACCAGAGGGTAATAAAGGCCAGAATTTTTTGACATTGGTTAGCTAAAGAAACAAAGTTTAGGGAGCTCTGTTTTTATGGTGGTGGCTCTATATTGTAAATATTTTAGGAAAAATGGGGAACAAAAATATTTACCACCATGGCTACGTCTACACTGCAAGCCTCTTTTGAAAGAGGCTTTTTCCAAAGATACTTTCGAAAAAGCCTCTTTTGAAAAAGTGTGTCTAGACTACAATTAGTACTTTTGAAAAAAGCAAGCCGCTTTTTTGAAAGAGTGCCCAGGCAGTCTGGATGCTCTCTTTCGAAAAAGCACAGTTTGCATTACATAGCACCTTTTTTTGAAAGAGCACTTTTGAAAAAAGGCGTTCTTCCTCATAAAACAAGGTTTTCCACGGTTGAAAAAAACTGCCACATTCTTTAGATTTACTTTTGAAAGAACATGGCAGCAGTCTAGATGGAAGGGGAAGATTTTTCAAAAAAGGCCACTTTTTTCAAAAAATCCCTGTAGTCTAGACACCACTCCCCCCTCTCCCCCCCAGAGTTATACAATTATTTCATTTTGGATTTGTGCTCCACGGCCAGATGACATTAGAAGAAACTTGGAGGGAAGAAGCAAAGGTGGAAGTGTGCCTTTAGATGCAGATATAGGATTATCTTCCCCAGAAATCAGCAAAACATAATATCTAAAAAAGACTATTTGACCTACTTTGTAACAGTTTATTGCATAAGGGATATTTTGCCCTTTCTAGCAGATTGCTGAACAATTCCCATTTAGTGTATAAAATTTTCTTTTTATAGAAATGACATTCTATGCAATTACTATCATCATCCATAGAAAAAAAAATTGTTACCTAACATGAAATATCTGGACTTGAAATAAGGTACCAAAGATGCCTGCAAGAGTACATTTGTTGTAATACTAAATTATTATTCTGTTAAAAGAAAGCAAAAAACTTTAATTTTCCATCCAGAACTTAAGCTGTCTCATGCCTATATTCACATAATTTTTTTTTATTTCTTAATTTGTATTAGAAAATAGATGTTTCTTTCTTTTGTAATTTTTAAATGTAGGTGATGTAGGGCCTGATTTTACTCCCTTTTGCATCTCTTTTCTCTATAACTTCATTGTAATTTTACACTGGTGTAAAGGTAGAGTCAAGCAAAAAATGTCTAAAATGGAAAACAGACTAAACAGTATCCAAGAATCTCTCTTAAGAGAATGTAAATATCGGAGAATTCTTGTGCATTGAGAGTTAGCCCTGGACAAATATAGAGCAAAACAAGTGTTCTCCGTGATTGTCTTAAGGTGACTCATAAAGACTATATTACAGAGTATTTGCATTGTATTGTTAGCATTGAGAGGCCCTTCCTTTTCTTTGAATGTCAGGTTATAAGAACAAAGAACCTGACCCACACCTATATTTCATAGTTAAATGCCATGAGTAATAGAGTAGGAATTTTTCTGGCCATAATTCAAGTACAAGTACAGGCAGTCCCCGAGTTACGCGGATCCGACTTACAAACAGGGCTTTCTCGCCCCGGAGCTCGCAGGCAGCGGGACTGCCCAGAACGCAGCGGTCCCGCTGCCTGCAAGCTCCGGGGCGAGAAAAGCTGCTCCGGGTGCCCTTGGTCTGCTGGGGACCGTCTCCAGTAGACCAGGGACACCTGGAGCAAAGCCGGAGAGGCGGAGGGCCATGCCAGGGGCAGGGTCTGCTGGCTGGGTGCTGGCAGGCTTGCACCTGGCATGGGCACTGTAGCCAGCCTAGTCTCCTTTAAGGGGTCCGGGGCCGGGAGGGGGGCAATAGAGTTTCCCTGGTGTTGGCCAGAGTGGCCATCAGGGAAAGCTGGGGAGGGCTAGCCTCCCACTAGTTCGAATTAAGGGGCTACACACCCCTTGATTCGAACTAGCTAGTTCGAACTAGGTTTAATCCTCGTAAAATGAGGTTTTCCTAGTTTGAACGAAGCGCTCCGCTAGTTCAAATTAGCGGAGCGCTAGTGTAGCACCTATGAAAGTTAGTTCGAACTAACATCCGTTAGTTTGAACTAACTCTGTAGTGTAGACATACCCTAAGATATCACAACTTCTACGTATGCTATGTTGTTCCCTGAGCTAAACTGCCCATTGAACACTACTTATTCTTGTACTCAGATGAAAGTAAGCTGGTGCGCCCTTGTGTGCAGCGCCAGCAGGAGCAAAAATCAAGGGTGCATGTGGCAAATAGCCAGATGGGAGCTATTTAAAGATCTGGCAGGGACCTGGGATGTAATAGGACAGTACCTGTAAGAAATGTTATCTTCACTGCTGCTTGTACTGCAGTGTGGGAAAAGCATTTTAACTGTGTACATTGCAGTATAAGTTGCTAGATGCACCCTTGATTTTTCCTACAATTCTCTGTTTCTGCATGTATTGGCATAATTTTCTTTCATTTAAGATATGTAGTTGAAACATTTATTTTACATCCTTTTTCTTTTTTTGCAGAACCATCTAATTTGAGACAAAGCAGATAATTCATAGTATTTAGTTGTCTATATTTTAATAAAATTGTGATCTTTGTTCAACAAAGTCATAGGACTAGACTGGGAGGATTGTCACAGGTCATGGTTGAGTTGAAACAAAGAAAAGGTGGGGAGACCATTACTGATGGCCAAACAGTACCAATCAAATCTCCGTCTTTCATGAATACTAAAATCACCAAGGACAACATTTTCAGAAGAACTCAGTTACCAGCAGCTCCCATACAATCCCATAGATTCAGATTTTAAAATATTTGACACCCTGAGTCTATGTCTACACTGGTATGATTTTGCGCAATAACTCTTTTGCAGAAGAGTTCTTGTGCAAAAACTCTTCCAGAAGAGAGCATCTACACTGACATGTGCCTTTGCGCAAGAGCATCCTTGCCAGTGTAGACGCTCTCTTGTGCAAGAAAGCTCTGATGGCCATTTTAGCCATAGGGCTTTCTTGCGCAAGTAATTCATGTTGCCTGTCTACGCTGGCCTCTTGCGCAAGAACAGTTGCGCAAAAGGGCTTATTGCTGAGCGGGAGCACCATAGTTCTTGCGCAAGAAGCCCTGATTTCATACATTAGAACGTCAGTGTTCTTGCGCAAGAACTCGTGGCCAGTGTAGACACAGCCTTAATGTATACTCAGTATTTTTGAAAATTTAGCCACTTTTTATAGGTGCTTAGGTCTGAGATTTAGCTTTTTTGAAATTCTGTCCCTATTGGTCTTGAAACTCTGGCCCTGACATTCTCAGAAAAATATAAATGAATAAAGTACTAATTTTATGTTTATTTTCTTTTTTTCCAGAAGAATCCCCTATTTTTACTCTTATCACCTACCCAATTAATGCTTCAGGCAAGATATTAATATTTCTCACATCTAGATTTATTTAGCTAAGCTTTACTTTTTATTTTGTCATGTTTATAATTTTTGTATATTCTTATTCTGTTTTTCAGCTACAACTTCAGATACAAGCTCTGCAGGTGAGAATTATATGTATTACACAAATAAAAACTAGCATTAAGACCAAATTCAGCTGTGATATAACCAAACAATATTCCTTTGTGTTCAGTAGGTTTGCGCTTGTTCAAATCATGGCTAAATTTGGCCAACTACTTTGAAAAAAGTTTTATAACACTAGCTGCTTAGCTACTCCATAGTTAACATTTCATTGGTAGAGGTTTTTTTAAGAATGTTAAATTAATATTTTACAGTTATCCAAAATATACTCCTTTCCTTTTCAGGAAGAACTTTAAGTGCACTGACAAAGCCAAACCATACAGGTACATGTTTATTTTATGACATTTTAAAAAATTAATCTGCATTTTAGAAATTTAGGGATAATGGTTCTGTTTGAAAAGTGAATTCAGTGAGATTGCTAAAACTACTTAAAATATTTTTGAATTATTAAATATCCATCACATTCATATTGGGTCCATTACGGTGGTATATGGGCACATATTTTATGGTTTAAATTGTTTCAATAATGTTCCATACAATAGAGACATAACTAACCCACTTTCCTGATCTGTGAACTTATGACTTAACTCTCCTTTCATTCGCAAAAGCTTTAATCTGAAGTAACTCAGTTATCTTTTACAAGAAGTTATTAGGGATTAAGGCTAGTGCAAACAGGAAAAGAGTCTGAACTAAAAAATAATAAAGAGGCCAGGCAGCTCATTTAAGTGAACAGTATTCATAGGCTTTCATCAGAAATTCTTATATTTAATTTTTTTCTTCAGAAACTACTAATAACCCTGAATTTAACTTCTCCACAACAGTAGGTAAGTTTTTATATTCCTGTTAATTTTATTCCGAGTGACATAAAAGCATGAGCTTCGTGAGCTGTGGCAGTCTGTTCTAATATTTTGAATATTATATTTTTATTATTGTGCTTCACGTTAGCAATTATTCTTACTTTGGGCTGAGTTCATATGATTCATTGTAAGCATGCATGAGAATTGAGATTGTAAACTTACAAGGCCCTGTCACAAAACATTCCATAACTAAAAGAAATGAGTTTAATGTTACAGTTTCATCTGAATTTCTCAACTTGTGTTTGATTAAAAATTTTTACCTCAGCATTGGCTTTCTCTGTTCCTGCTTTTACAAATGTATTTGATCTATTTTGTATATATGGCTGAAGCAATTATATGAATCCTTTTGTTAATCTTTAGCAAATATGGCTGTATGTAGGGACAATAGAGAAAATATACCAGAACAATTGGTAATCTTTGCAAGAGGGTCACAGAGCTACAATGGCAAGGCAATCACAGAAGAATGGAGGGGGAGTTCATAGCTACTGGGCAGAATGTACCAGACTAATCTATATCATTCATGAGTACTGAAAAAAAAACCCTAAGGGCAAAATTTTCAAAAATGCTCAGTTACCAGCAATTCCCATTCAAGCGCTCATTCAGATTTTCAAAAGTATTTAGCACCTCTTGTTCTCAGTAAGATGAAAGTATTTTTGAAAATCTAGTCACTTTTTCCAGGTTGTGGGTGTAGTGACTGTGCACTTTAAATCTTACGCCTTTTTTTACAAACAAACATTTAAGCACTAATGTTTTGCTTCTCTATTTTTATTTATTTATTTATTTATTTATTCAGCAGAATCTTCTATCGTCACTTTTATCACCTACCCCATTAATGCTTCAGGCAAGATTTTATAACATTTCTCATATTTTGATGTATTTAGCTTATATCTAACCCAGTGGTCTCCACCTTTTTAACCACAAGATCACTTTTTCAATTTAAGTGAAATGTAAGATCTACCTCAGACGCAAACCCTTGCCCCACCTCTTTCCCGCCCCTTCTCCTAAGCTTCACCCTGCTCACTCCATCCCCCCTTCCTTCCCAAACCTCATTTGCTTTCACCAGGCTGGGATAGAAGTTGCAGTACAGGGTCTGGTCTTGGGCTAAAGGGTTCAGAGTGTGGGAGAGGGTACAGAAGTGGGGGGCGGAGGGATACCCTGATATCAGCACCTCCCCTTCTCCCTTCCACACCCTACACAGCAAGCAGGAGGCTTCCGGGGGGCAGCTGCAAGGCACAGGGCAGCAGCAGCATGACAGTGGGGTGGTGGAAGGGGGGAGCAACTGAAGTGCTGGTGCTTAATAGCTTCCTGGCCAAACCAGTCAGAATCACTTGTCAGAGGCTCCAAGATCTACTGGTAGATCCCTGTGGTAGTTGGTGACCACTGATCTAACCTTTTTTATTGTGCATGTTTTTACTGTTTTCTATTTTTGTTCTATTACTCAGATACAACATCATTAGAAAGAACAAGTCCTGAAGGTGAGAATTATTTGTGCACAAATACAAAATTTAGAATGAGATCTGGTACAAGAGAGATAAAACTCTTGTATTAAGTAGAGTTTTAGTTGTTTAAACTAGTGTTAAATTTGGCCCTAGATCATTATTTTCACAACTTTAAAATGTTTATCATATTGGCTGGTTAGCCAGCCCCTTCATTACATTTGCATTGATAGAGTTTTGAAAATAAAAACTTCATGTGGTATTGTTAATAAAAAAAAATCCTTTCCTTTTTAGATAGAACTTTAAGTATATGGCCAGAGGCAAACCAGACAGGTACATGTTTATCTTTATATAGTAGTTTTCTCCTTCTCTCTCTTTTTTTTTTTTTTTTGGTATTTTAGAAAATATGTAGGAATGCCAGTTCTGTATTGAACAGTGAATTCAGTAACATTGCTAAAACTACTCAAAGTATTTTGAAACAATTTTAAATATCCATTTGCTTCATTACACACATTTTTATGATATCCATCATGATGGAATATGGGAATATGATCCATTGCTTAAATTGTGTCAGTTGTATTCTAGTTGTCATATAGTAAGAGGGAAAGTAACATCATTGATTAGACAGAAACAGGAAACACAGCTGTTCCCCTGGTATAGAGCTGCCCCAAAGATAGCATAGCAAGCTGTATATATAATGAGCCTTGAGTAGTGCATAGCCAATGGAGTGATTCATATGACTCACTCCCAATGGCTAAGGCAGTCCAGTAAATCATGGTGTGCCCGGAGCCAGTGCCATGCACCCAGGAGCCGGTAGCGCCCATGCGCTGTGCGCCTGGTGACGGCGCCACCCATACGCTGCAAGCCCGGGGCCAGGACAGCCCTCGCGCCACTCACCCAGGGGCGGGGCCGCCCATGTGCTTCGCACCTAGGCCGGCACCCCCCATACGCCGCACGCCTGGGGCCGGCACAGATCTCGTGCAGCGCACCTGGGGGTGGGGCCACCTAACTGCCGTGCGCCTGGGGCCAACACTGACCATGTGCTGCGCACCTGGGGCTGGCTCTGCCAATGTGCCCAGGGACTGGCTCTGCCCATGCGCCACATGCCTGGGGGTGGGGCCAGCCCAGCCCCGATCACTTGGCAGGCGCACAGAAATGGCCTGGCGGGCGCCATGGCGCCCATGGGCACTGTATTGGAGACCACTGGAGTAGCTAGACTGCTCCTTCCCTTTCAGCCTCATCCCTTATCTAATCACAAGTAGGAGAGTTGTATAGGAGTCACTACATCATGTGTATGCCACCGGAAGACTCTACCTATGCTAGCCTGAAACATATAGAGCAGATTAAAATTGAGAAAGCAATATAAAACAGTCTTCATCCAGATCAAAGTCTTGGTCACTGTTGAGGATCTAGTTTTTCTATTTTGAAAATAATACAGGAGAAATATAAGTTGTTCAGAGAAAATAAAGATATTAGAAATATTTAGTTAGGAGAGATGAAATGAATAAGCATGACAAAAGAATATAGAATGATACAGTGACGGTAGACTGAATTAACAACGGCCATATTGTATCAGACCAAAGGTCCATCTTGCCCAGTATCCTGTCTTTTGACAGTGGCCAATGCCAGATGCCCCAGAGGGAGTGAACAGAACAGGGAATCTTCAAGCAAACCTTCTCCCATCACCCGTTCTCAGCCACAGGCTAGGGACACCATTCCTTCCCATCCTGGCGAATAGCCATTGCTGGACCTAACTTCCGTGAATGTATCTAGTTCTTTCTTGAACCCTGTTAAAATCCTGGTTTTCACAACCTCCTCTGTCAAGGAGTTCCACAGGTTGACCGGGTGCTGTGTGAAGAAAAAATTCCTTTTGTTTGTTTTAAACCTGCTACCTATTAATTTCATTTGGTGGCCCATAGTTCTTATGTTATGGGAACAAGTAAATAACTTTTCTTTATTCCATTTTTCCTCACCAGTCATGATTTTATAGACCTCTATCATATCCCCCGTTAGTCTCTTCTTTTCTAAGATGAAGAGTCTCAGTCTTTTTAATTTCACTTCATATGGGACCCATTCCAAACCCCTAATAGGTTTTGTTGTCCTTTTCTGAACCTTTTCCAATGCCAATATATCTTTTTTGAGATGAGGCGACCACATATGTACATTGTTGTTGTTGAGGGGCTCATCCCGCCCTCAGCTTTGCCACAAAGTCAATGCCCCTCTATCAGGGTCAATACAGCTTTTGAAGCCTAGCCACCCAGAGAAGCTTTTCCTGGATCAGGGGTTGATTGTCCAGGGCAGGGAAAAGGGTGGTAGGGGGACCCAGGCCCTCCCTCTCCCCCGGGTCCCAGCCCAGGGCCCTTGAGGCAGGGACTATGGCTCCTGCCCACTCGGCAGGGAATCCAGCTGATACATGCTGAGCCGCACTGTTGGTCCTTTTCCCTGGGCTGCTTCCTACCACACTCTGGTACCCCTGTAGTCTCTGGCCTCCCAGGCTGGTCCTTACCGGGGCTGGCCTTGTGGCTGGGGGAATCCCTGCCTCTCTGGGGTTGGCAGCTGCTGGCTCTGCTCCAAGGGTGGCCACGGGCAGCAATTCAGGTCTCAGCTGCTGTAGCAACACCAGCACAGCCTGAACTCCTCCTTCTCCCTGCGGCCTCTCTGGCTGCAGGGCTCTCTTTGTTTTTATACCTTGGTTCTGCTGGGAGCATGCCCAGCAGGGCTGGAGGGGCAGGGCCTTCTCAGCCAGCTGGGTGTGGGCTACTCCCTGCCCTTCAGTGCGGGGCCTGTCTGCCCCATCACAATAGTATTCAAGATGTGGGTGTACCATAGTTTTATACAGAGGCAATAAGATGTTCTCTGTCTTATTGTTTATCCCTTTTTTAATGATTCCTAACATTCTGTTTGCTTTTTTGACTGCAGCTGCACATTGAGTGGATGTTTTCAGAGAACTATCCACAGTGACTCCAAGATCTCTCTTTTGAATAGTGATAGCTAAATTCATCCCCATCATATTGTATGTATAGTTGGGATTATTTTTTCCAATGTGCATTACTTTACACTTATCAACATTAAATTTCATCTGCCATTTTGTTGCCCAATAACTTAGATTGGTGAGATCTTTTTGAAGCTCTTCACAGACTGCTTTGGTCTTAATTATCTTAAGCAGTTTAGTATCATCTGCCAATTTTACCACCTCACTGTTTATCCCTTTCTCCAGATCATTTATAAATAGGTTGAATAGGCTTGGTCCCAGTATGAACCCTTGTGGTACACCACTAATTATCTCTCTTCATTCTGAAAGCTTACCATTTATTCCTACCCTTTGTTACCTGTCTTTTAGCCAGTTATCAGTCCACGAGAGGACCTTCCCTCTTATCCCATGACAGCTCACTTTGCTTAAGAACCTTTGATGAGAGAATTTGTCAAAGGCTTTCTTAAAATCTAAGTATACTATATCTACTGAATCCCCCTTGTCCACATGTTTGCTGAACCCCTTAAGGAACTTATGTTTTTATGTTATTTTATTACTTTATACAAAAAAAGTGAAATTATAATTCTCAAAATGGTTATAAATCGAGCAGTTAACCATGAACTTTATTATTAATATTGTTTATCTTTTTGTATTTAGTTTGCTACATGGGCTCTGTAAAATTTAATTACAGTGAAAAAAGCAATAATGCTTCAGGAAATGTTGTAAGAGTAAGTCCTAAGAATTTTTTATCCATTATCCATTCTGCCCATTTAAGTTAATCCTATCCTAATGCTATTTTAAAATGTTCTGTAAACTGTTAATTCTTATATCACAATTTGTCTTAAAATAAATAATTAACGGAGCAATATATGGTGATTCTGTCATAGTCAGAACATAGCTTTAGATATGTTCTGTTTCCATAGTTGTTTGGTTCAGGTTGAACCTCTCTCGTCCAGGACTCTCTGGTCCAGCGACATCCGTGGTCCAGCAGGACCACGGATGTTGTTAGACCAGAGAGTCCTGGCCCCAAAGGTTGAGATTGGCTGGGAGTGAAGCTGGTCTGGTCTGCTGCAACCAGCAGGGCCAGTGACCTGGGGTAGATAGCCCCAGGAGCAGCTGCTGCCATGTGCAGGGCTGGGGAACCCCATGAGCAGCTGCCACCACATGGGTTGGAGAACTCAGGGAGCAGCTGCCATCATGTGAGGTTGGGGGCAGGGAGCAGAGCCCTGGCTGGGGGGAGAGGGAGGGGGAAGGGTGCAGCAGAACCAGGCAGGTGAGCCAGAGATTAGGCCTCCGGGATCTCCTGAGGCAGAAGCCAGGAGGGGAGCCCCAGGAGATCCCGGATGCCTGACCTCCCCTGGTCCAGCAAATTCCCTTGTTCGGGACCAATCCGGTCCTAAGAGTGCCAGACCAGGGAGGTTCAACCTGTAGCTGAGAGGATGCTATTATGTTAACTGTATTTCTACAATTATTATACCAATAAGGGTTAAAGTATCTTTGAAAGTGCTTTATAATATCTAATAGTTCCTTTGGCACCATATCACATTGTAATAGATGCCCAATGTCCCTTTCAGAAAGATGTCCAGTATGTGCAGTAACTCTCGAAATGCCAGTTGCTGCTGTGCCATATCCTAGAGGTCCCCAGGACTGAGACACCTTGCTACTCCCTGCCCGTAGGTGAAGAAGTCTTGTCTGTGCCTGTTTGTGGATCTCCTCCCTTATTCTGCTGACCAAGGACAGACACGCACTTCCCTCTAGGCCTCCTATGCCCACTGTTAATGTATAGGTCAGTGAATGATATACCCCCATCCTTCAAGTGCTTCCCTGAAGTGTCTAGCCCCAGTAGTCACATGCTTGCTGCTTCCAAAGAAACAGTACATTCCAGCTTACCAGTTCCTCCTCAGATCATCACTCCACTTACTACATAGCACTTGGGTAGGTTTATAGTGAAATTAAATGTAAGTTTATTTAACAAAGCATAGTAATTCATGTATAGCAAGTAGAAGTACAGGTACTGGAAACAAATGCTTACATATAAAATAAAATAACACAATGTTCTAGAACCTGGAATTTATTAACAAAATGCTCCTACATCTAACCAAGTACTGCTCACCCAAGGTATGTCTGCACAGAAGCATTATTTCATAGGGCACATCTACACTGCAATCAGTTACTTTAACATAATGTCAAAATAACGTCGAGCCAAAGGACTTCTTACTCCGAGTCCTGTAACCCTCATTTTACGAGGAGTAAGGGAAGTTGAAGGAAGTATGCCCTTCCTTTGACTTCCTGCTGTGTAGACAGTGCCAAAAGCTGAAATAAGCTATTTCAATTTAAGCTGCCCAATTGACATAGCTGAAGTTGCATAGCTTATTTTGGCTTTAGCCCCGCTGCGTAGACGTGTCCCCAAAATCCTTCAATGGTTTACAGCTAGGCTGGTATAACCCTCCTTACATGAGACAACCATGCTGTCAGCTTGCCTTCTCAGTGAAGGACTCAGAATGCTTTTTGCCCACCCAAGATATACCAGTCCCATCCTTTGACTTTATTCATAATCAAGACACCCTGCCCCTTTGTTTATTTCTGTAGATTTCCTCTAGTGCAGGGTTCACTATCTTTTCTTTTGCCTGTGGCTCAGTATGCAAATTTCCACTGTGAGGCATAGAGACAAATGAGCAGATTCAGAGAGGTATCTGTTACCTCCTATCTGAAAAGAGTTTCTTAATTCCAAGACCTTAAGAAAATTATTTTCAGTATAGTTGTATAATTCATTAATTATTCTTCATGCATACATTTCACAATGATTAAGAATACCAGTGGGTTCTGGTTTTGGTAGATAGCTCACGTGCCAACCTTGGTGAACTGGTGAACTATCATGCATATATCTGGTCCAGGGAATTCCTAAAAATCCTATGTACCCTCTGTGCTCTCTGCTAGTGGCATCCAGTGGTCACAGTTGTTAAGATTTCTATTCATATGTGTTTCAAAATGTGTTCATAATGGGTGCTTCTTCCTTTTTCAATTTCAGATTAAGATGAGTAAGATGTGCATTGTTAGTTTAAAACAAATCATATAAGAATTATAATTTTTGCTTATTTTTGGAATCTTTGTTTCTAACAGATTGATGATGTAACCACCAGTGATAAAGTTACAAAATTTATTCCATTTACAACACCTACTCTACAAGAAAAGTACGTAATCTATACTTACCAAATAAATTGACTCTTCCAATTCTGCTGAATACTGGTTGTATTTAAGAGTAAGTGAGAACTGTTACATCAGCAGATTTTTCATGTCTCATTTCTGAATTCTAGAATGAATAATATTTTAAGGAATATAGAAGGAATTTCACTAGTTTCTCATGGTATGGGTAAAATTTACATTACTTAGACCCATAGTATTCCAACACACTAGCCACTAGCCACACGTGGCTGTTTGGCTAGCTGAGTGTAGCTCGTTGGCTTTAATAATGTGGCTACTTGTCTGGTTAAGTGTGGCTAGTTCACTATAGCAGTATCCACTATACCCTGGTCTACACTAGGACGTTGTTTGGAAATAATCCCCCTTAGATTGAATTTATAAGTGGAGCATCCACACTGCCACACCTTGCTGCTATTTCAGAATCTGTACTCCTGCTTTCCTTGGGGAATAATGCTAATTTTGAAATAGTTATTTCAAATTAGCGTTAGTGTGGATGCTCCAGTTCCACTATTTTGAAATAACTACTCCCCAGAGTAATCCAAACAAATTACTCCCCAGTGCTTCTTGAGGGTCTAAATCAAGCTAGTGCGTCCATGTTAACGAAGCTTGTCTTGGACTAATTTCAAGGCTTCCCCATAGTGGGGACTTACTAGTTTGATTTTTGTAAAATTGGGAGTTATTAAATTGAATTTAGTTATTTCGAAATGATTTCCTAGTGTAGACATGCCCTATAGTGGCTACTGCTTCAGAACTGGTTGGACACCATGGGCTTAGATTATTCTTAGTTTTAGTTTTATGTATTGATTTTTTAATATTTTACAAATAGTCGCATTTACAATCCTCATTTAGATTCTTATCCTGCAACTTCAGCTGAGCTCCATACAGTTGCAGGGGTTTATCTACATTAAGTCCTTTGCAGAATCAGGGCCATAGTAAGAAAATAAAAAAGTGTATTAAAGCTGAGTAAAATTCACGATGTGTACTGACAGCCTAATTAAAGGAAAAACATCTGATCACTTGTATGTGGTCAGCTGTGAATTCAAATGTGTCTGCTCATCAGAAAAACTGAGTTGACCCAGTTTTGATCTCATTTAACTTAGGAAATGAAAATTGAATATTGTTGAGGCTATGATAATCTATATGCATTTGTCACATTCACTTTGTTCTGTTTTGGACTCTGGTGCCACTTCTTTCATAATGTCCTAAGAGATGTATGTTTGTTTCTTTGCAAACATCCACAACTCTCAGTTGGGCAAAACAAAACTGCTAAGGTCATTTTCCTACCTCATTTTTTGGGTCATATTACATTATTTTTTATTCCCTCTACTGGCTCTTCCTGTTTCCTTGCATCAAATTTAAAGTTGGTGTGGTATGGGTCTGAACAAAGCTGAAGAGATAAGCTATACATTAGAATTTTTTTTAAATCTCTTTGAAGTCTGTGCTTATTTTATAATCGAAGGACAGACCTTGTTTACAAGAGTCTATATGCCCCTTCTGAATCCATGCCCAGACTTCATTTACAAGTTCTAATTGTGTTTCCCATACTTCCTTATAAGAACACAAGTCAGAAATTGTCTATGCTCCATATTAAATTACTTTAAACTAAGTGAACTGACAATAAAATAAGTTTATATGAGTGATAACAATTAAATTTTATTTCCTCCAACATTGTCACCCAAAATGCTAAACAGTTCTTTTGTTAACAAATGTTGTTTACTCTAATAATATAAATTTTCCCTTTTAAAGTAATTACTGTATTTTAGCGAATATACCCTGCACCCGAATATACCCTGCAGTTTTTCCAAATTGAGTAAAAAAAAATCTTGTATACCCCGCGCACAAGTATAACCCACAGGGTATACAAGACTTTTCTGTGCTGGGGGGTATATGCGTTAATTTACGGTGCAGGGGGGGAGGTTCCTGCGGGCACTCACTGCCCTGGTTCCTGCATAGCCACCAGCCTCCAGACGGGGGAGTGTTCATCCCCCTGGTTCCTGCGGCTGCGCAGGAACCAGGAGGATGAGCAGGAACTCACCAGGTGAGTTTAAAAAAATCTGTATACCCCGCACTCGAGTATACCCCACAGGGAGGGTGCAGGGTTTGTAAAAACACATATAACCCCTGGGTTATATGTGCGAAAATATGGTATATAATTTAATATGATTTCAAGTTAGCAGGTTAAGAAATCATTTCTAAGTAGACTTCAAATAACATTTGAAGAAATAGTATATATAATAGTTTCATTCATATCATTTTAACTTTTGTGAATATCTTCTTTATAAACATTTGTAGAATAAACCACTTATAGTTAACCTTTGATTTTAAAGAATTTCAGAATTCAACAAAACATTGCAAGATGCAAGTGAGGTAAGCACTTTTATTTGTGTGCTTATTGGTTATTATATCTATTTGGAAACATGTACTTCCTATTTATTTCTCGGTATCTGATGACCAAACTTGTTTTCTGTGGACAGAATAATTTAGTTTTATTTTATTTCTCCTTACAGTCTTCTGTTATGGAGTGTGCTGCAGAAAACCAAAGGTCTGCCATGTTACATTTTTAAATAATAATTTTACCCTTCTCAGATCCTGTACTATAACTGAGCCAAGCTAGGAAATCAAATGTGAGGATGATCTTGCTTCAGTTGAAATAAATGGAAACAGGACCAAGGGGCAGACAGAGTCCATGGGTTAACTCCTCATCCCATTTGCCCAAATGTGTCAGAAAAGGGAGGAAGATTGGCCAGAGTACATCTTTAGGGACCATTGCCAGTTAGTGTATGTTAAAACAGCTGCCAGGGTACTCTAATCTGCAACATGGTGGGTAATAGGGCAAAGGATCAAGGGAATGTAACTAATTCCTTGCCAACCTCACCTCTGCAGCCCCGCAGCATTGCTGCATGCAAAGTAAAATGCTCCCCCCTTTCTCAGCAGAGAAGAGGTTTGGACCAGGCCAGCGGTGAAGAAGAAGAACAAAGGCGATGGTGCTGGCGATGGAGCAGGACATTTGTCCCTCCTCCAATTCCCACTTTGCAAGGGGATAACTGATCATTTTTGGTCAGCCACACGTACCCCCAGCCTTGGGTTATAATGCCTCTTTCCTGGGTATGGGCACACTCGCTGCTGGCACATAAGCACTTTCCAGCCTCCCTCCCTGTAAGTCATTGCTCTTGAAGGGGACATATTTTTGACTTGTGGTGTGCTGGGGCCTAGCCAGAATGCCCCTCTTTGGGGTCTGGGCAGAAGTGATATACTAAGGATATTTTGACTTCTTCACATCTTCTGGGAAGCCCAGGTTGGGAGGAAGGGCATTCTAATTGTTTCCATTGCTGTTCAGCATGAGAAAGAGTAGTTGCTGGCTGGCATGCTCTGGGGATTGGAAAGGAAGTCTCCTTTATTTGCATGAGGGAGGCAACTGGCTGGATTCCACAGGTGATAGCAAGGTCAGGAAGTGGCAGACTGATTCCTTGTTTGTGATTATGGTGTAAAGCCAGGGCTCTTACACTGGCCCCTTATTTTACATGGTAAGATTTGGGATCCTCATCTTCTCAGTATTACATTATTTAAACAGAGGTTTCAGCCTATCACTTAAACTCATTCACTGTGTTGTATCTTCATTCACCTACTTTTCTGGCTTAACTGAGTGCAGTGCAGAATCTGGCATTTCTGTGGAGCCAGGAGAGGATAAACAAGCACAACCCGTTACTTTCATTCTATTTTTAATTGGAAAACTCTAGGTTGTTAACATAAAAATATTCCTCAAATCTGAAAATAGGTTGGGAAATGGTACGTTAATTCACATTTTGCTGGTATTTCAGTATACAGCATCTAAAGGTAAATCTGTTTCTTGTTTACAATTTATTTTCTTCTGATTGCAGTATATCAATCTGCAAGTTTCTAATAAATCTGACCAAGACTGCAAATATAAGCAAAATAATAGCATCCTTAAAAGACAGAACAGAAATAGTCCAAATTGGTAAGTTGTCTTTAATATTTAATATTGTTTTATTACAGACTCCCTCTTCAGTCTAAGGATAATAATTTTAAAGATGACCTGTAAATGTTTTAACAGGAAAGAAAATAAATGTATTTTAAAAATACAAGGGTTAATTAGAGTTGGCTGTAGGTACAGTACATATGAAGTGTGTCTCTACTGTGTTTTATATTTTGGATAGTCAGATATGGAAATGTATATAGTGTTTGTATTTATTGGGGAAATTTTGTGTTAGAAAAACTGCTGAATATGTTTGTATAATAAATTAATGAAGTACCAGCGGCCACGCTATTTGATATGGTACAAGTATTTTTGTGTTAGTGGATCATGCTATCTTTTGTTCAATTATAAGTCATGAAGTTGTGCATTCTATACTCCCTTTGTTTGCAATAGCCAAAAAGAGCCATTTCAGCTATCTATATCAGCTTGTACCTCACCCTGCAAAGATGTGAGGGTGTAGTAATATTTATTTTATTTTATTTTATTGATACAAACAATATCTCAAAATGCTTTATGGAATTAAAACTGTCAAATATATTATTTTCAACAATTTTGTATAATGGTTACGAAGAAAATTCCATGCTACTGGACAAATCAGGATAATACTTTTTTGTTTGTTTGTCACCATAGAACTGTGCTTCTGTTCAGCTCTATGGTTTTCATCCACAACTGCTAAAGAGTTACAAAAATTGCAATGGTAAGTATAAATAGCAAAGGCTTGCTTTCCTAACTAAGGAATATTCTGTTTTTAGCTTGGGATGCATTGGAAAACACCTCAGCCATACCATAATAATTGGGAAGGGACTCTCCATGAGTAAAACTCAATGACATGGGTTTTCACATACTACAAGATCCAAAGTCTGGATACCATCCACAAAGTAGGCAGCCAAAGTGGTGTTACTATTATAGTACATGAATTACTGATGAGTGTTTGTATCCTCAAAATGTGACCAAAATCAATAGTATATGTTGCTAGAGTACTACAGTCATCTAATCTGATGCAGTATTTTAATTACAACAATGTGCCCTTCATGTAAAGGTTCCCTTTACTGAAGTCTTATTAAATTGTGTTCATTATTATATAAAGAATGCTAAGCTTACCACAACTTTCATACCGTTTTCTTTTATTTTTGCTATAGTGATGGAAAAGACCCAGTTATATATACGACCCCTAGCAAACTTGGACCTCCACCTTCTCTTGGTGCTTCATCCACTAAAATTTCTAATGACTTGTCTGGTCAAGCTTTTCACTCCCCAAAACATACCACTACTTTTCCTCCTCATGTTCCAGACACACCTAGTATTATACCCACAGTTCCCCCTGCTATGCCTTATATCTCTACAATTACCCAGGCTGCTTCTCCTCCACTTACCACTACAATTCCTCCTGCTACATCTTCTCCTGTCCATACCACTAGAATTTCCCCTGCTATGCCTTTCACCAAATCCACCACCATTTCTCTTCCTACATCTCCACCCAAACTTGCAGTTCCTTCTACTGTTTCTTCAACGGAAACTTCAAGCGTGGCTCCTGTTTCCTCCACTGAACCTACCATCACTACTCCTCCTGGTATTCATTCTAGCCAAGCTACCAGAGCCAACAACACAACAGGTAAATATGACAAGCTGATAAGCTGCCTCTTCTGTCTGAGGGAGTTTTTTCCCCCTCACAGAACTGAGATATTACCTGTTTATTACCTGTTTAAGAACGTTTGAAAACGTATTAAAGTAATATAGCATACCTAATAAAATACATTACACTCTCTGGGAACACATTCGACCATCATTGCTCATGCTGACTAGTGCCTTACTCTACAAGTAGACTCAATAAAAGTTAATGGCCTATGTGCTCTGTTTCTAGCACCACACATTGGATAGGCATAATGCAATAAACAAATAAGAGAATGACAGACCTAGGCAGAGACATCATCATGTAAGTTTGAATTTAAAATAAGTCTTCATGGACTTCATGCAGGAAGTGATGAGAGCTATTTCTTGCAGAACATCTGGCTTGCTCTGACAGTTTGAACTCTGATTGTGGCCTTGGTAGCTTAACTCATTGGTGCTGTTCACGATGCTTGGCCCCACTTTTTTTTGACAATTCTGGTGGATCAGCTAGAAGTTTCTGGACATTTGTCTTCTCCCATGAAACATTCAACACAATGATGTGGGCAGCATCTTGGAAACTTTGAAGGGCAGGGTGTAAATTCTCTGGTTCTCCACATATATAGTGCAACATTATAGTCATAGTCTTAATCAATGAAAGTGGCTTGACCAGCCTTGACTGATGTGTGGCACGGGAAGTCCTACTATCCAGCTGATAGCTCAGCAGAAGGCTGCCAGGGAGAGAACACATCCTACTGCATAGCTGAAGATGTACAGAAATCCACGAAGCAATGCACACCTTTCCACTGGTATCTGTCTGAAGATTGTGTATCTGGAACTGCAGCTCTCTTTGGTTCACACTAAAGTGCTATCTGTCAACCAGCTCAAAACCCACTTTGATGCAGATATAGGCCAGGTGAAGTGGGTGGTTAAATTCTTGGTGCAGCTGAGTCAGAGGGTAATGGACATCATCCATTGTCAGCCACCCTATAGTGAAACCTGATTGCTGTGGAAGTCTATTAAGGAGTGGCTGCATCCTACAAAGCTGAACATGAAGGAAGGTCTTTCCAAGGACCAATAGCAGTAAGATCAGCCTGTAGTTGCAGCACTTGATTCAAGATCCTTTTCCCCTGACACAGGGACACTATGATGCAGTCTTGCCATTCTGCTAGTACACTTCCTGATGCCCACTTTTAAAAACAGTTGGTGGAGGCCTATGCTCACTGGTTCCAAGGCACCTCTTGCCATGACCAGGATGTGGGCAGTCTTGCCTAGCGAATAGAACCAGGAGACTTGTCAAGTGGTCAGCACAGGAGTAATGCCTAGTGGTGGAGCAGGAGTTGTGCCCAGGAGTCAGAGGTCAGAGCCAGAATCCGAAACCAGGAGTCAAGCTAAAGGTCAGAAACAGCACCAGGAAATGGAGATATAGTCAGAGACTGAAACTAGAATCAGGGACTGGGGTCAAGCAAAGAGGCAGAGCCAAAGAACAGAGGCAGAAGCAGCAAATGAAAGTGGGCTTTATTGCAGCAATAGCCCTGATGCTGCAGAAGTGTACAAACAGCTTTCTGGGAATTTTCTCTGTGCTTAAATAGTGAGTCTAGAGCCATCCAAGGTCACAGAGAGATTTAGCCAATCAAATCTTCTGTGGAAGGCACTTTGTTGCTTAGTCTCCTGGGGTTTCTAGTCCATGGATTGCAGTTCTGCTATGATTGCTGGATGGAGTGAAAGTACTGGTCACCCAGAGCCCTGCATACTTACATGCTAATCTTCTTGATCATTATATCTGGAGGTGAAAGTGGGCCAGAACAGGTCTCTACAAACCATTCTTGCAGGGCTGCCAACAAGCTGGGAGCAAAAGGGGCAGCTGCCCTGGGGCATTGCTATATAAAAGGGTTCATGGCTCCCAGCTTCCTCTACTGCAGCAATGGGAGCCAAAGACCCGGTAGGAGCCCTCAGCCTTTAAATCATCACTGGAGCCCCTGGGCTCCCAACTGCCATCTCTGCAGCCTTTGGTTGCTACAGCAATGGCAGTCATGAAGGGCTGGCAGGGGGAGTTTGGTTCCCAGGCCTTCCCCTTCTGCCCTGGCTGTTTGAGGGGTCCAGAGCCACCCCTCTGTGTTGTCCAGGATCTCAGCTACCCAATATTGTGTACTGGTAAGTCCCAGTACGTACTGTCAACTCTGCTCTCAACTGCTTCGAATCAAATAGGTTTGGGCAGGGACTGCTCACTATTTCTTGCTCTGAGACTCTAAGGCACATACACAGGCTTCATCCTCTTATCGCAGCCCTTCTTGAGATGTGGGACTCCACAGTCCAGGTGCCCCACAATCTGTAATTGATGCCTTAGACTTCCCTCCCTAGTTCCCAAGTTGCTTTTATACACTTCCCTAGAATTCTACCTCAACTGTGGGAACTCTGGTTTCTAATTTAACCTCTTCAGGGACAATGTGGCAGGAAAGCAGGGAACACAAGCTTGGACAAGGAATTTCTTAATCATTGTCACTTTATTCTTAACAAGCACAAAAGAACTACAGAACTGAGATGTATCCTTCCCTTGACTGGTCTCACTGTTCCTATGAATCTGAAGTTTGTCAGCTATTCAAACCTAGGTGGAGTGCCTCCTGCTTCTTTCTCTCCAGCCAGTCCTTCTTATATGTAGGGCAGCCAAGATTATACCATAGCTATAAATACTTTACTGATTAATGCATATTTTCTAACAATACCTCTCAATTTAAGGGTATAAAATTAAAACTAGCAGGCTAATTAGTTTAAACAAAACATGGTCCACTTACATCGGTACTTTTCATCTACTTTATATATGTGAACAGTAACATTCCATAGTGATTAATTAGTGATGAATGTCCACTTTCTGGGCTAGGCTTGCTCTGTGAAGACAAGGTGTGTGAGGTAATATCTTTAATTGGATCAGCTTGGACAAAGACACTAGTTTTTGAGCTTACACAGAACAGTCTTTCTGACCTAAAGAAGAAATCTGTGTGAGCTTGGGAGCTTGTCTCTGTACCAGAGAAGCTGGTGCAACAAATGATATTACCTCATCCACCAACACAGTTTCAAAAACACTGCAAGCTGATTTTGTGGAGCACATTTTAGTGAAAAAGTCAACTCCTGTCCCTTTCACTGTGGAATTTTGGAAGAAAAAATTATTGTGCTATGCTATGGGATATTGTAACAAAGTTTATTTTTATTTTTAAATAAAAAACATTAAAATTTGTAATATTTTTAGAGCCTAAGATACTTACGTGTGTGGGCAAATGAGTAATGAGCTTGAATCCTGATTAATAACCTATTGTGAAACCTCCTGGTTGTGTAATTGTAACTATAAAGGGGTCAGCACTTGCCTCTCACAAGCAACCCCTGGTCAAGTGTTTGTGCTTGCAGTCTCTGTGTTTGTGGAACAGGGTTGTCACCTACCTCTTGAGAGCGCCCTCTTGCGTGGATGGTTTCTTCATTGGGTCACATGTTACATGTCTGTAGGTGGAACAGAGCAAAGCCATTCCAGGATATACAGTCTTTAAATTGTCCCAGTCCTGGTATGGGGCCATATCCCGAGGACTTCCTCCCCAGCAGCATTGTCTTACTGGAGCCCTCCCTGGGCTCAGTTCTTGCTCATTCCTCACTGCCAGCCAGGAACCTTTCCATCTCCCCAATTCCCTGTCCATATTGAGCTGTCCATGGTCCTGCTGCTCTTCCAGCCAGCTAGAAATATGGTCAGCTCTCTTCCAACTCCAGGCAGTAACTGGAGCATTTTATATGGTTCTTCTGGCCTCTGACCAGTTGCTCCAACAGCCCCTCTGAATGGCTGGCTTCCCTGCAACCACTGTATGCTGCTTAGTGGACTTCCCTTCTGCTCTTTCTTCGGGGTCAGTGAAGCAGGGTCATGTGGCTTCTAGCAGACTTAGTTCACAGTAACCCACCAGCAAGTGGGTCTGTCTTTTAGTTCTGGAGGTCCATGAGTTCAGTTTTTGGGATATCAGCCTAGATGGTAGCCGTCACATAATGTCTTGTTTTTCCCCTTAGGTTTGTTTTGTTTGCTATATACAGCATGGATGATTTCCAACTAATGTACACTATTTTTCTTGTGTCATAGGAAACATTTTGAATAATTTGTCAAACATCACGCATGCCACCAGTAATTCCTCCGAAGTTGAGAGCATCATATCCAAATTAGAGAGTGCTCTGTTGGACCAGAGCATAGAGCCAAAAGTTGCAAGAGAGATGGTCAACACAATAAGCAATCTCTTAAATGTTCCATATTCAGTACTATCCCCTATGTCTAAAAGGTAAACATTTTTGTAAGTGGATGAACTGAATGCTGTGCTTGTCACCTTGGTAAAGTGATACATTATAGGCAAACTATCAGCCTGCACTTCCTTTTTTCTTACCAAAACTGAAATTTTGTGTCAGAGGCATGATTCTGATTCCTCTAGTTTCACATTGATGTAGCTGCTTGGCCTTCAGTGGTGTTCCTTCTTATTTACACTGGCATAAGATTGACCAAAGCAAAATCCCAATTGTTATCTGAATATGCTTGGCCTATTGTTTAACAGCCTATTTAAAAGTGAAGAGATAGGCCCATTTTAATACTAAGCATATTTTGTCTTAACAGAATAATAAAAATAGTAGATGCCATTGCCTTAAAACTGAACTTTTCAACGGAGTCCATTAATTTTACCTCCCCGGCCTTGGCTCTAGCAGTCACCAAAGTCAACAGCAGCAGCTTCAGCAAAATGTCATTCTCTGTCCAAGATTCATCAGATCTTCAGGTAAAACTGCTTATGATTTTAATAATTAAAAATGTAAATCCTGACTCTTTCTGGATAAAGAGCTTTTATTATAATAAAAAAAGAGAGATTTAATTAAGAGAATCTGAAATCCAGATCTGGTTATGGGGAGGAAGAACAAAGGGCAAATGCATATAATTTTGCTTGTTTAATTTTTATTTAATATTATATGACACGTGATGTTTTCTGTCGGTGTCTGCTATAATTACAGGATCTTTATTAATAATATTTTAATTATAAACACCCACTCCAGCAGCCTAAAATTGTGAATCCTTTCATCAACTATCACTAGAGCATTGAAGAATTTCAGATTTGCCAGATGGCCTGACCTGTCAGAAGTGGTATTAGAATTGCATTGGGTGTCTATAAAAGAGTTACCATGGGATAATTTTCATATATATTTTCATATATATTTGCCACTTATTGCCCATGGGCCTTGCCAAGAGAAAGTGCTTGGAAAAGTTTAACACCACTTTCTCACTTAAAAGTTTTTTCACTCCTGATTTTGGGATAATTCTAAAGGGCATGACACAAGCCTTTAAGCTTTTGTCTGTGAGAGATGGAAAATCCTCAGCAAATATTAGAGCACTGTTTGTCTTCCCAGGCAAGTTGGTAACAGTTTGATTTGAGGAATAAGTGGTGCTTGTATCATTCTAGAATATTACAAATAATGTGAAATAATAGCAGTTTTGTTTTCCTAAGAATATGTGAAGAACAAGTATGTGGTGAGACCAGGAAGGAGGTAGTAATGGAAGCTTAACATTTGCTGCTCCTTAGGGAATTCTGCCCCACAGAGCCTGCACAGAATTCATATCTGCCGCATATTTCTTTGCTTCCCCACAGAAAATGATGTGGAAGCAAAGGAAGCCACAAGAATAGTTATATGCCCCTCCCCAGTAATGCAAATGCATCATTTCAGGTATCTGGAGCAGCTGGCAGAGAGGTAAATCACAAAGAGAAGGGTGGGACTGGGATGCTCCAGCCAATCATTCCTACCCTGTGCCAAGCTCAGCTTCTAGTTCTGGCTGAGCTGAGGAGGATGGGACTTTCTCTTCCCCTGCAAAGAGTAGCCAGTGCTGGGTCAGACCAAGAACTGCAAGAAGCTCTGCATCCCATTCCACTTTTTGCCCCCATTGCTCCTCAGCCACAGAGCAAGCAGCACTGTACAGGGAGATGCTTCCCTGTCTACCCAATCTCTGTGGAGCCAGATCCCCTCTGAACGCAGATTCCTCCTCACATACACTGGCACCCAGACCTCCCCTATGGGGCCCCATAATCAACTTTCCAGACCAATGGGCCCCACCTCCTCCCTGCATCTGAACCATCCCAACAAGTCCCCCACCCCAGACCTCCAAACCATTGAGCTCCAACCAGCTAAACCCAGAAACCTACTGCAGCAAGCCCCGCTCCCCCAGGATTTGGACTCCCCCACTGAACTCCTCATCCTCACTCCCTGTTGAGCCCTAACAACATTCACCTGGACTCCCCTGCCAAGTCCCATTCCCCCTACACTAGAACCCCTTAATGAGCCGTTGTGCATCCAGATTCACCCTGCACCTGGACTGCCCACCAAGCCGGTTACACCCAGACTGCCCCACCCAGAATCTTCTCACTCCCCGCTAAGTTTTGCCACACTGCCAAGCTGAGTGTGCCTGCTTCATACCTGCATCGGGGCCCATGGTGGGGCATGAGTATGAGATTCTGTCCCTCTTGCTTGCTATGTTTGTTTACCTGGCGTATAGGGGAATTGCCCTAGGTTGTTTTGGGGATGGGCCCGGACCATGTGCTGTATCAGGGTCAGGTGTAGCTTTACTGCTGAATCTGTGTCTGTCTGGAGGAGTGAGTGTGTGTGGCAGGGTGATCTACCTCCTTGCAGCCAGTGGCCCCTGCTCCCCACTGCCATGCTGGAGCCTCCATATATATTTATTGACAAATAAAATATGCAGAATTTTAGAATATAGTGTGAAGAATTTTTAATGTTTTGGTGCAGAATTTCCTCAGGACTGATTTCCTAAGTAAATTTCATGGCGCACTGGAAGATTTGGAAGACTGGCAGAGCTTTTCAACTAATTTGTGGCTAGGCCAGATTAGAGTGATGGAAATGCCTTTGTAAACTTAATTGGAGTCAGTGCTAATGAGGGATGTTAAAATTAGATTAATCTTCTGTCGACTATTCGATTAGACAATGAGGGATGTTAAAATTAGATTAATCGTCTAATCTAATAGTCGACAGAAGTTCTATCGATTATTCAATTAGTCGATAAGGTGCTTCTTGCCCGGCTGTTGCTACATTTCAAAGGTGGAAGTGCCACATGGCGTTCCGCTTTTGAAATGCCGCATGGAGTCTGGGGCCAGTGGGGGACTCTGCTGGCACCAGGTTCCATGTGGCACTTCTACTTTGAAATGTACAAGAGCCCCAGCAAAGGATCTTGTGCATTTCAAAGGTGGAATGCTGCCACTGCTCCCGTGCCCCCTCCCACGGAGCTGGAGCTGGGGGGAACTGGCTTTTAAGCTGGCTCTCCCCAGCACTCCTTCTTTCCCTCCCTTGCTGCTTCTTTCTGATAGAAACAGCAAGGGGAGTGGGAGTGACCAGTCAACTAGTGTGTCAACTATCCAATAAACTTTTGCTTATCAGATAGTCAACTAGTTGATTAGTCGATTACATCCCTTGTGCTAACAGCCTGAGAGGTGAGAGACTGGATTCTGGAGCTTGAACTACCCTTGCACACTCTCTGACCTCCAGAGCAGGATTGATGCACATTGTTAGGGTGTTGTTGGGAAGCTTGCACGGAAGTTTCTAGGCTGAGACAGTTCTTTAGATATACAGAGACTTTTCTCTTGAGTTCTGAGGGTCTTTTGTACCTTTTGGGAGCTCTAACCTATTATTGGTTACCTCAGAAAGTTAAAGAGAATAAAACATACTTCATCTTAAAGGTATACCCTCAAAACCTTAGCTAAAAGTCAATATCTTGTCTGTACGACATTGCATCTTTAAAGTCTTGAGAAAACTGAATTACAGTTTATCTGGTTCATCTGCCAGAATTAATGACTCACCAGTACTGTAAACAAGTGAATTAAAATAAACAGTTTAAGAAGAATAATCATTTCAAACTTTTGCTTTGTAGTAATCATAATTAATGGTAAGGTGGGTCCACATGCACATCCTAGCTCTGAAGACACCAAAATGTTGAAAGTGTTCAAGTTATGATACTAGATTTAAACCTAAATATTACAAAATATCCTTGGTTATATAACAGGCCAAATCAAAATTCTGCATCTTTAATTTTAGGGCTTGATCTTATCTCCTAGCTATGGTATCAGATATCTGGCAGGAAATAATGTTAAATTTGGGATAAACAAATTCTGTTTAAGATGCACTATTACATTTCACTTTCAAACAATGGCTCTGTACAGCAGTTTGGAGTCATAGAAAAATGGTTTGGGGAATTCTTTTTACAACTAAAAACCATTTTGCCGTAAACTTTTAGTAACATTGAAACGTTTCACGAGGAGTAACGGTAGTTCGGACTAGGAAGCCTAGTCCGAACTACCTAGTCCGTGCCGCGTGTAGCCGTGCGACACGGAGTCCGCACTAGCGGACATTTAAATATGGCGGCGCCCGGCGAGATGCAAATGAAGCCCGGGAAATTCAAATCACGGGCTTCATTTGCAACTCCGGTTGCCTACATTACCACCCTAGTTCGAACTAGGGTGGTAGTGTAGACATACCCAGAATTACTAACAATGCTGATGCTCTGTCCTCATGAGCAGATGAGTGGAGCAAGGTTAGCACCATAGCTGAGTGCAAGAGCTACAGCCTTTTCAGGGCTGAGGTAAATTATTTCTCCTGGAGCCAAAGAAGAGCATGGGACGAAATGGCAGAGCTAATAGAGAGACAAGGGGGACAGCCACCACCATGTCAGCCTGTAGATGCTTGTGAGGTGCCTTTTCAAGCATATTATGCAGCTGACAACAGGAGGTATGCAATGTGAATTTTTACATGGGGCTGGAGAATGAGCTTGTTGCATATTCAGCCAGCAGCTCCTCACCCACAGGGCTGGACCTGCTCCCTGCGCTGCGCATTGCAATGTGACCCCATGGGATGGTTTTAGTGCTGCAACCTCATGTACTATATCATAATGCCATTCACTCAAATTTGGCTTAGCCACCTTTCCATCATGATAGATGGCTGGCTGGGCCAAAGCCCTGCAACCACATACTCCCAGGCTCAGTGTCAAGAATGGGGAAGTGGGCCCAGCCCTGTGGGACATGAACCATCATTGCTGGGGATGTGTGGCGTGGCTTTCTTTCCAACCCATAGCCAATGGTCCATCAGCTCCTTCCCCTTAAGTTGCAAAAACTGACTCTGCCACTGAGAGGAAATATGATTGTGAGTCATGATTCCTTCCCAATGACACTTTTGGGATGCTATAGCTATGTATATGCTGTTCCTATATTCAGACTTGAGCCTAAAGCACAATCTAAACTTCCATTAGCAACAAAAAATATTGTACCTTTTTATGTTTAATTTTCAGATTTCTCTAGGTGCCCAAGCACCTATAAATAGTGTTGGAGCTATTGCACTGCCTTCATCATTGTTGACAAACTTACCTTCTGAACATAAGCCTCTGGCATCTAGAATTACATTCAACTTTTTTGAAAAGACAACTCCATTTCAGGTAACTTTTCGGGACCCTGTACATGTATATTTAATTCTGTGTTAAAACTGATCAAAAATGGACAGTGAGAAGGGAAAACGAGCATAAATTTTCACACAAAAACATTCCTTTTTTCATCATATTTTCACATTTCAAACATTTTTGCCCAGCTCTAATCTGTGTAATAACTGAAATAGTGTGCATGTATGTATGTGTATCCCTTGTTGTATTTAATATTTTTCCTTTTTCTTTTTTGTTACTCTTTGTTACCTTTTTGTTATTTCAGGATCCTTCATTGAAGAATATCTCTTTAATCAGCAATGTCATTTCATCAAGTGTAGCTAACCTCACGCTTAGTGACTTGAAGGCAAATGTTACTGTCACTCTACAGAACACCATGCCTAATTTGGTATGTTTTACACTTTAGCAGTTTACAAAATGCTATTTTGTGGACTTGCTTAGAATTGTTTTATGCAAAATATGCAGACTACTTCATTTGCTCTGTGGTATTTTGGTGGTTTTCCATCTAAGTTCATTGGTTTCAGGGCTTCAAACATAGCCAATATTTGCCTAACGCTAATTAATAAATATTATTTATTCATAATTGATTGCCATTATTTTGTGATTTCTCTCTGTTACATCAAATTTCTATCCAACTAGTATTATTTTATGTTGTTTCCCTTTAGGTAATTTCTAATGGATGGGGTTTAGGCAGTTATGACCAAGAGGGAAGCACTAGAAAAATGGCTTTTAGAGGCAACTCAGCAAGGAGACCGTATACAGCATATACTGTATATATAGCCTTAACCTGTGGTATGGTCCTTAGAGCCACACAGATTTGGGCAATCTATACATTTTGGGGGCTAATACTCCATGCTTGTTCATGGATGTCTCCCAAGAAACAGTCTATGTTGAAACAGGACAAGATTCTAGTCCCTGTGTGGAATTTCCCCAAAACTAGGTCTTTGTAATCAGAATTTGTTGTTCATAATATTATATATCAATTACTACCCTTCTTCCAAAATAACCGGTAAACCTCGTTATATGAGGAATAAGGGTTATTTTGGAAGAAGGGCTTTCTCCCAAAATAAATGCGTCTACACAGCATTTGTTATTTCGAAATAGGGTATTTTTAAACAGCGGTGGTCTGCGATTATGCAAAGGAAGCATGGGAAGTTCAAATCTGCGCTTCATTTGCAATTTCGCTCAGCTGCATTTGCATCCCCCTCTCTAAAGAGGGTGCAAGTGTAGAAATATCCTTAGGCAATACACACTTGTCAAATGGTCCAAGCAGTTAAGATAATATAAGGGATGTGAGAAACTTGGAAAGATTAAAATAAAACCTTAAATTCAAAACCAAACAGCAGGTAGCTAGGAAATAATAATTCTGAAGAAGCTGAAGGCTCTAATAGATTTCATATAGCCCAACTTCAGTTTGTTGTGTATATTAGGGATGTGAAAGTGTAAATGTGTAAATGGTAAACAGATGAGCCTTCATAGTTACACACAGGCCCCCACCCGCACGCTGCTGCCTCTGTCCCACACTGCTGCCTCTCTTAAGCTGGCTCCCGGTGAGCCCTGGCTTCTGGGGAGCCGCTTGCCCACCCTGCGCTGCTGCCTCTGATACAGAGGCAGCAGCACAGGGAGAGAGGCGTGTGTAAACATATAACTACTGAAATTTTCAGCAGTTACACATTTACCTGAATAAACACATTTTAACATCCTTAGTGTATATCGGCATTTGTAGCTGTCTTCATCCATCCTCAGTCTGGTACATCTTGGTTAACATAGAAGTTACCTTTTCCTTTTTATTTTGTATTGCTATAGATAGACAGTACTTGCGTCTCTGTCCATTTTATACTCAGAGCTGTGTAGCTCATCAACATATTATTCAGTAAAATGTGTGTATTTTTTTCAAACAGGAAAATTTAACAGTTAGATGTGCATTTTGGGACTTTAATGAAAATGGTGAGTATTTTATATCACCCTTTATACATGCCATGCCCTCTCAGCTGTGTTAAATTTTGGTAACAGTTTTAAGAGATACTGTACATAGCATCGTAATAGAATCTTGTTATCTGTAATAGGTGGCAAAGGAGGCTGGTCATATGAAGGATGCACAGTTAAAGAAAGGAGAGCAAATGAAACCGTTTGTACATGCAACCACCTCACAAGCTTTGGAGTTTTGCTGGTAATTAGTTATAAATATTGTCCAAAATGAGTGCATTTGGGTCCTTTATTCAGGAAAGTTCTCTTGCACTTGCTTAATTTTAATCAAATGAGGTTGTTAAACTCATGAGTAGAACCCTGTGCAGATAGAAATTCTACCTGAAGTAGGAATAAGAGATCCTCCGGAATAGGGCTTTATTCCGGAGGATCGGGCCAGTCTAGACGCTTTTTTCCGGCTTTTCCCCAAGCCGGAAAAAAAGCGGCGGCCATGTTTATTTAAATCCCGCGGGGGATATTTAAATCCCCCACGGATTTCCCTATTCCCACTTTCAAAATTAGCATACCCCTTCCGAAGAAGGGGCCAGTGTAGACGTAGCCATAGACTTTGGGATCCACAGATTTGCAGGGCTCTACCTGCAAGAGCCACTGTGGCCAACAGAGAAAAGTGTGGTCCCATTGTGCCTGGGAACCAGCACTCTGTGCCAGCAGCAACTCCTGGCAGCACGGCCGCACTGCCCCAGTCCTGCCACAAGTGGGCTGCACAGCCCCAGACCAGAGACGCCGTAGGTGGGCGGTGCAACTGTATTGCCGGGAAGAGCTGCCAGCACAAGGCACTGGCTTCCAGGCACGATGCAGTAATGCTATTCTCTGTTGGCTGCAGTGGCTCTTGGGAGTAGAGCCCTCTGGATCCCTATGTCTATTTATGGATATCTGCAGCCACACATAGACATTTCTATCCACACAGGGCTCTACTCATGAATAGTCCCATTGAAGTCTAAGAGTGTGTCTGCATTGCAGTTACCACACCTGCAGCTGCCCTTCACCAGCTGATTTGGACAGTTTAGCTATGGAGTAGATGTTTGGGCTCAGGCTGCATCTTAGACTCTGGCTTCTCCCCCATCACAGCCCCAAAGGCTACACTACAATTAAATAGCCCCAAAAGCCTGAGCCAACTAGCATGGGACTTACATGCCTTGCTAAATCAGGGAGCTTAATTTTAAAGAGTGATTCTTCTTCAAGAGAGAAGCTGGGGATAAATCAATACTAAAATAATGCTCTTGAGGCAAGTTTGACCCCGTTTTTTAATTTTTAAAAATATGGATTTTATATGATCAAACATGAACAGAAATGTTTCTATGGTTATTTTCTAAGAATACAGTGGAGCGGGTTGTTGTTCATTTGTTTATTTCAAAGATGCATACCCCTTAAAGATAATTTCTCTTTTACTTTTTTAGGACTTGTCTCGAAATACTACTTTGCCACCTATCCAAGCACTGGTTCTGACATTTATCACCTATATAGGCTGTGGCCTTTCTGCAATTTTTCTTTCTATTACTCTTGTAACCTACATAGCCTTTGAGTAAGTACCTGCACAGATAAACTGACATTGTAATCCTGATCATGCTTGTCCCTAACCACTGCCATGAAGGACAATGGATCAGTTCTTTCTTCATTGAGTGATTGCACACATCCATTCCAATGTAGGTGTGTTTGTGCCCTAAGCACAATTACTAGAATTTTTTCTCTAAAGCTACATCTATACTGCAAGCCTCTTGCAGAAGAGCAAATGCAAATAGAGCACTCATTTGCATATGCAGCACTCTCATTTGCATTTCATCTTCCTTTCCCTTTTGTGCAAGAGGTTTTTGCATCCGTGTAGATGGCACCTTTTTGCGTAAAACCCCCCTTTTGCACAAGAGCTGTTCTTCCTCTAAAAATGAGTACCAAATTTAGGTACCAAATTTGCAGGGACTTCCTGTACCAAGAAGGATCAGGAGGCTAGACTGAAGTTTTCCCTTATGGAAGTGGCGCTGAGACCTTTCTCCAAGCCAAACTGGTTGGACTCAACACCGAGTACCATGGCATCACTGTGGAGTGCTCCTCCTATGATGAGGGAGTCTCAGCACTGTTTGCCATTCCCGGTGATGAGGAAAAGGCACAATGGAAAAGCTAGCCAAGAAGGGATATTCCCCAACTTTTCAGAAGGCCACGCATGAAGTGTAGAACAGAGTGCAACCTAAATCAGGCCACTCCTCTGTCTTGGCATCACAGTCGGCACCATTGACTTATGTGAGCCCTTATGTGGGGACTTTTGTGTCCAGTACTGGACAAACTGTCAGCCCTGGAGGGACTGGCACCGCTGAAATGCTGTCTAAAGCAGAGGTGTTTGCTGCTGCCATTCTGTAAGTCCACCCAGCTCTTCACAGTGATTGTTGAAAGGAAAAAAGATCTCTCTATCTCAGCTCAGAGACAGTTGTCAGGGATTACAGCCATTTGTACATCTTTATGGTTGTCAGTGCATACATTCTCTAGTCATTACACCATTATTTAGCAGACTGGGGATAATGCCTGTTTTGGTCCATCAACTCCAATCTCACCCCTCTTGTGCAAATGCTTGGAATTCATCTACATTGGAATGGATATATGCAAACACTTTGAGAAGATAAAGCATTTACTAACCTTTCCCTCTTGTGCAAATGCTTGGAATTCATGTACATTGGAATGGATATATGCAATCACTTGGAGAAGATAAAGCATTTACTAACCTTCCTGTAACTGTTGGTCTTCAAGATGTGTTGCACATGTCCATTCCACAACCCTCCATCCTACCCTTCTTTTTCGGAGTTGGTTGGAAAGAAGAAACTGAGGACATACCAGGTTGTCTGGATCCTTTATACTAGCACTACAAACACAAAGCACCAGAGGGCACCAGAACCACTCTGTCAGGTGCCACTGCGGGAAAAATTTCTCATGACTGTGTTTGTGGTTTGCACACCCCTATATTGGAATGGACACTTGTGACACATCTCAAAGAACAGTTATGGAAAAGTTAGTAGTCATTTTTTTCTAGTAGGTATTATTTCTACCTCCATACCAGTAAACAGAATGAGTGCACTTTAAGGGGTGTATATCAAGATTTGAGTCTCCAGGGGGAGAGTATCTTATAAATAAAATAATTATCATGAAGTTTTGTATAGCTGGAAGCCAAGGACTGGGAAAGGGTTACTACAAACTGTCCAAATAAAGCAGAACAAGGAATCTTTTAAGAATAAGATACATATGTGCCTAGTACACTTCTGAAATACCAACACGTTGTTAGACTGTGTTGCTCTTGTGCAATAAAATACAGCTACAGCACATTAGCTTTCCCTGTAAGTTGTAGGTTTCTCTATACATAAATAGAGGCTCAGTTATTTAGTCCTTTAGGCCAATTTACATCAAGGAGAACCCCTTGGCATGATTTAAGAGCATCCTTTTACTGTTCTACTCACTTATCATTAGATTTTTATTTGCCACAGTCAAGGTTTCCATATACACCTTAAAAGGGATTTCAGGCCTAGCGTAACCTCTTAATTGTAATGTGATGAGTGTTGGTATGGTGAAGTACTCCAGCAATAAAAAGCCTAATATACAAAGAAAAATAATAGACAGAAGTAATACAATATTTAAACAATATTAAACTAAGACAACTGGAATTTAAGTAACAATGTTGTATTTATAAGAGTTTAGAACATAGTTGTAACAAAATAGTGATGTCTTAAATATGAACTTGTCGTTCATAAATATTTTACATAGCCATATGTAGAATGTGTTATCTTAGTGGCTCTTCTGCGTTAAGGACCAAAGAACACTGGATCAGTGGGGGATCTATAGTAATGTTCATAAAATGATGAAAGCTTATACTATTTCACAACTTTTCTTTTCTTTTCTTTTTTTTTAAGGAAAATCCGGAGGGACTACCCTTCCAAAATCCTTATTCAGCTATGTGCTGCTTTACTTTTACTCAACATAGTTTTCCTCCTTGATTCATGGATTGCTCTGTATAACATACAAGGCCTGTGCATCACAGTTGCTGTATTTCTTCATTATTTCCTCTTGGTTTCCTTCACTTGGATGGGCCTTGAAGCATTCCACATGTATCTTGCCCTCGTCAAAGTGTTTAATACCTATGTACGGAAATACATCCTGAAGTTTTGTATTGTTGGCTGGGGTATGTATATTTTTCTGGTTTTTGAATCTAAAATATAGTTTCTTTACCACAATTTAAGTGGATGGAAGGCCATTTGAAAGTAATAAAGCAAGTATCAAATACCTGTTTCCTGTTGGAAACCTTACGTGCATTGTCAATAAATAGGGTTCTATTTACTTCACTGTTCTATGACTTTAGCATGTTGTAGAATTCATCCCCTTGCTGCAGAGTTTTTCAGATTATAATTTATTTTGGGGCATACACTATGTATAATTTATTGTGGGTACTATTACAATTCAAATGAATAATAACTTGTTCCATTTGAAACTACAGTACTAATGGAGAGCCAATTACACATTTGACTATTTACATCTCCAACCCCCAAAGCAGATAGTATCTCTTCCATCAAGGAAATTAATGTTAGTGCTTCAGAATATTATCTACATATTCTACCTTTAGACTAATTTCAAAGGGATAGCTGTGTTAATCTGTTTCAGCAAAAAAAATGAGGAGTCCCGTGGAACCCTGCTGTTTCAGCAAAAACAATGAGGAGTCCCGTGGAACCCTTGAAGACTAACATATTTATCTGGGAATAAGCTTTTGTGGAGTGGAGCCCATTTAGTCAGACGCATGATGAAGTGGGTTTCAGCCCACAAAAGCTTATGCCCAAATAAATGTGTTAGTCTGTAAGGTGCCACAGAACTCCTTGTTTTTACCTCTAGACTGCTACTGTTTCTAACAAAAGGTACCAACACAGTGCCAATGACTTCAGTGATGAGAAAATCCTAGGCCTAGTTCTCCTCTCATGTCCATTCTTCTAAATCAAAAGTAACTGCACTGAAAACAATGGAGTGTAAAACAGGTCTGAGAGGCAAAATCAAGACCATTGTGTTTCATGTCTTAAAATCCATGATATTAATGGGTATGTACAACACATGTTGCTAGTTTACCTTAAGTTATATTTGATGTAATTGGATCAAGTCACATAGAATATGTTGTCTTGTTCAGAAACAAAAATTGTGTTTTACAAAATAAGCTATCATGATAAAACAGTCTCCTATATTATAACTTCCTTTTGGATTGTAAAAATCTGGCAACACAATTAGGTTTCATAGGAAAATAATTTCATTTCATCACATAACTTTCATTCAGAATTAAAACTATTGTCTAATCTTTCAGGTGTACCACTTATAGTGGTAGTCATTGTATTGGCCATATCACCAAATAACTATGGGCTTGGATCATATGGAAAGTTTCCTAATGGCACACCGGATGAATTGTAAGTTAAAAGATAGGCATATTTGAAGAGTGAATGCTAACAGAATGGTTATGTGAGAGTTTGTATGTGAGCTTCTTTCCTGAACGTGACACTTCTGTGAATAAATCTCTGCAGGATATATTAAGTTATTTTTCTTCCTAAACTGTTTGCAAGGCTTACATCCAGTCACAAAAGGCTTAGATCCAGTCACAAAATGCTGGCATGGAGCTAGAACATGAAAATGAGGTTAACTCAAGAAAAGAGAAAGAAAGGAGTTGGGGGATGGAGAGAGAGGAAAGTAAGCCTAAATGTAATACAAGACAAAACACACACACCCCATATTGCCTAAGGAAACAGGATACCTAAACCCAATCCATTAGTGTTGGTTTTTTTTCATTACCCTTGGGATTCACTTAGGATGATAATGGACACATTTATAAAAACCTAGAGAGATGCAAACTTGAGCCAGTGTATGTAGACTTAAATATTGCAGGATGAAGTGTTTTTAACAAAATATAGCCATATCTAATGCTATTTGTACTTAATTTTTTATTATTAATCTGTATTCTAGCTGCTGGATCAACAACAATATTGTTTTCTACATTACTGTTGTGGGATACTTCTGCATGATATTCCTGTTGAACATCAGCATGTTTATAGTGGTACTGATTCAGCTTTGTCGAATCAAAAAGAAGAAACAACTTGGAACCCAGAGAAAAACCAGCATTCATGACCTCAGAAGTGTTGCAGGCCTCACATTCTTATTGGGAATTACTTGGGGATTTGCCTTTTTTGCATGGGGGCCAGTAAATCTGGTATTTATGTACCTCTTTGCCATCTTTAACACTTTACAAGGTAAGTTAAGCTTTGTTAAGGCCTTTTGTATAAAGATGTAATGAGTAATTCAGTTTTAAGAAATGCTTTATTATGCACAAGAATTTATACAAAATTATATCTTTACTGTTATATAAAAGATAAAACTACTGAATACGACCCTTCTTAATTGTTGCATTACATTGAAAGAAAATTAATACAAACACTTTCAGAAGTGACATAATAATGTAACAGTTAAATAGTAATAGTTAGTTTATTACTAATTAGTTAATGGTCAGATGCAAATTTATGGATGTGTCATTTGTATTGAAAATTATACTCTTAAAGTCCATTAACAGAATCACAAAAGCTACAGGACCAAAGATCTATTGGCTCATTTAGGCTCTGTTGTCTTTATTTGCTTTTGAAAGTATTTTTAGCCTAAATTGATTTTCAAATGTAAGTTAGGCATTTAGGCCCCAATGGTGTTCCACTCAGAACTATAAGGCATATGTGGCTTACTTGGCAGAGCCCCATTTTCAAAAGTAACTTAGGCACTTAGGAGATTGAGTTCCATTGACTTTTATTGTAACTTATACTTTCCAGTGCCTAAGGACAGGTCTACAGTAGACCTGGCAGCTCAGCTTAAGGTTCACAACTCCAGCTACGTAGCTGCAGTCAGTTTACCTTAAGCTGAGGTGGCATCCCCACAGCAGGAGGCTGACAGGAGAAAACATTCCCGTCAGCTTCCCTTACTCCTTGCAAAAGGAGTACTGGATGCCGGTGGAGGTGCCCTCTGAGTACCGGATGCCAGTGGGGGTACCCTCTGAGTTCAATTTAGTGAGTCTTAACTTTTGAGGAGGTGACTTAGCTGTATGTCACTTAGGCCCAGATCTTCAAAGGAATACAGAATTGAACTCCCATGGAAATCATCTGCACCAATTTCTATGGGAATTAAATGTCTAAATATCTTTGAGGATGTGGGCCCGAGGTCTTGCAACAATGAACAGAGCAGCATCTAAAATGCCTTTAAAAATCTGAGCATTGGGGACAAATTTAAATGCCCAAAGATGCTGATTTTTAAAAGCATCTATGTGCCTGACTCCTGTTGAAGACCATGGGACTTAGGTGTTTAACTTATCCTGAGAATTGTTCCAAAAATGCTAATCTCAGTCTTCTCCAGTGAAGACTTGTAGCATCTCCTTTATTTTTCATTCCCTGTAACCTAATATAAAGAATTGCACAGCCACATTCTTCTTTGATAAATTGTAGCTGGTAGGGAGTGTAAATATTTCTGACACACCTCAAGTACATCCCACTCTAGATGGAAAGCAGTGAGAATTCAAAAGTGGGTGGATCTGTGTCATGGCACAGTTTGAGATATCCTCACATGTATGAGCTGCATCCATCCAGGAAAAGGAGTGGTTTTGAACTTTTGGTGAAGAGGGCTACAATTACTGTTTTTTGAGCATGAACTGTTAGCCCATGTGGGCTTTCACTATGACTTAATTGTGATGGGGAGGACCAAAAGCTACCTTGTAAACTTGAATCTGCATTAGGTTTAATCCAGTTTGTCCCAGTGGCCTATCAACATGAACACTGGTCTGTAATTGTGATTGATTCCATCACAAGTAGCAGCAGCAGTAGATTAACTCCAAATAAAATATGGAGAAATTCCAATTAGCATATATTGAAAGCTAAAGGTATTCAGCTCATTACACCTCATATTTGAAATTGTATTATCTTGTTGTCGGGTCTTGATTTTTGTACTAGAAACTTCAAATAAGCTTGTAATTTCACATAGGTCTTCATATTTTAAACTCAGCTTCCTGATGCATTTGTATTTTTGGTACTCTTTATCCCCGTAATATATAATGTGCAAGAATAGCAAGAAAAAACATTTCGGCTACGTCTACACTGGCCCCGATCCTCCGGAAAAAAGTCCTTTGAAGTAGGATTAAGAGATCCTCTGGAAAAGGGCTTTTTTCCGGAGGATCGGGGCCAGTGTAGACGCTCTTTTCCGGCTTTTAGAAAAGCCGGAAAAGAGCATCTACACTGGCCCCGATCCTCCGGAAAAAAGTCCTTTGAAGTAGGATTAAGAGATCCTCTGGAAAAGGGCTTTTTTCCGGAGGATCGGGGCCAGTGTAGACGCTCTTTTCCGGCTTTTAGAAAAGCCGGAAAAGAGCATCTACACTGGCCCCGATCCTCCGGAAAAAAGTCCTTTGAAGTAGGATTAAGAGATCCTCTGGAAAAGGGCTTTTTTCCGGAGGATCGGGGCCAGTGTAGACGCTCTTTTCCGGCTTTTAGAAAAGCCGGAAAAAAGCGGCGGAGATTTTTATTTAAATGCCGCGGGGGATATTTAAGTCCCCCGCGGATTTCCCTATTACGATCTGAAAAATTAGCATGCCCCTTCCGGAAAAGGGGCCAATGTAGACGAGCCCTTCAGGTAATGACATCAGTTCATTGTTTAGACTATTAGTGTCTCTAATGAATAAGATGTGTAAAAGCATTTGAGTGATCAGCTGACTTGCGAAGAAACAAAAGAAAAACAATACCTCCCTTTTTAAAAGTTACATAACAGCAAAATTCTGTGGCTTGAAATAATATTCTGGCATTTGATGCTTTGCAGGTTTCTTCATTTTTACCTTCTACTGTGTAGCAAAGGAAAATGTCCGCAAACAGTGGAGACGATATCTATGTTGTGGAAAATTCAGGCTGGCTGAAAACTCTGGTAAATATTAAACACTATTGTCTATATCTGTAAATTCTATAATTACAGTCAGGTGTAAAGTCCCCATTGTTCTTAGTAAATGTTGTTATGCAGCGAATTACATAGCTATATATACAGATATATCTACTATTTTGGATTTTTTCTGATTCATAAAGTTTGCATTTTATTTAATTACAAAACATTGCTGTATAAAGTATTAAATTGAGTGGGACTTTGCATATATAGAAAGATATAGCCTTGTGGAGCCCTTTGTATAACTGTGACGTAAAGATCTGCTTCCTCAAAATCAATGGTAGCCTTGGCAATGACTTCAGTAGGAGCAGGGTCATAAACAGCTTTGAAAATAATCAGAGCTGTCAATTAACATGCATTAACGCCTGTGATTAATGCAGGGCAGAATTAACGCATTTTTAACACGTATTAATAGCAGGCATTTCCATGGCATTGCTCCTTTGAAACGCCGCCGAGGCGTTTCAAAGGGGCAGTGCAAAGCAGTGCTGGGGTCTGAAACGCCGCTGAGGCATTTCAAAGGGGCAGCGCAAAGCAGTGCTGGGGTCAGCTGGAGTCCCCAGCTGACTTGGGCTCCTTGCAGCGTTGCTCCTTTGAAACACAGTGACAGTGTTTCAAAGGGGCAGCACACACAGCTGATCCCGGGCTCCATTTGGCGCTGCCCCTTTGAAATGCCATGGCCCTAAAAATGTGTCATACTAACAATTATTTGGGGGTTTTTCATTGTACCCTGATTGTATTGAAATAGTTGAATGTACCCTTACACAGTTTAAACTCATGAAGTACTGCAGTTGCAGTTATCAGTAATCCCTAAACAGGCCTACAGTCACAAAAGAATGATTAGTTATTTTTTTTTAAATAAGAAACTAAAAGAAGAAAAATAAATTCTTACACATTTAGAATTATGTCATTTCTTGGAGAATAGTTTTCTATCTGAAATATTGGGAAAAGCATTGTGCTAGAATTTAAGTTATTTGCATTATTAACTGTACTCTTTGCTTGATTATATTGCATCATTTTCCATGACACTTATTCTACTATAGACTGGAGCAGAACTGCTACTAATGGTTTAAAGAAGCAGACTGTAAACCAAGGAGTATCCAGTTCTTCCAACTCCTTACAATCAAACTGTAACTCCACTAATTCTACCACCCTGCTAGTGAATAATGATTATTCAGTACTCACAAATGGGAATGGTATGTATGTTGCAAAATAGTACTTTTCAAACTATATCTTTTTGTTTTATTTTAAACAGCTTTAGGTTCTCTTGTGACAATTTAAAGCAGACAGTGAGCCAATTATTTGTGAGTACAGACGCAAAATGGTCCTATAAATAATAATTCTACAATTATCCAGTTTAGGGTAACACAGTATATTTCAAAAATACTCACTTTTCATATTTAATGTAAACTAGTGATTAGATGCAAAATTGTAAATGTTATACATTACTCAAATACCCTGCAGAGATGCTATTTATACCATGCTTGTCAGCTGAAGACAGAGCTAGCTATGGAAAAGTTTAGAACATTTTAAAATAGCTTTATCATGTTGTATCAACTAGGAAAGAAAACTCAGTCTACAGATAAAAGAAATGTGGTAACATCTAAAAATATTTAAAAAAACCCATGAAAGCTATCATTTGGGAGTGCTTTCTCCTATTAATGAGAGAGGGCTTCATCTGCAGAACCCCTGCTATCATTACCAGAACAGTCACATGTAAAAACCTCTTCTGAGGCTGGGGAAGCAGAGTAAGAAAGGGATAATGGGGCAATAGGGGCCATAAAATCTTCTCACTGAAGAGGTCTGAGAGAGTTACTTACCTGGGTAAGTAATGAGCTCAGTTGTCATATTTTTTCTGTGATTTCCATGGCTAGTCTTCCGTAATGGAAGTGAATTTATGTGTGGCAGGAAACAGACAAAATGTTTCATGACTTCCATTCCAAATGTGCATGCTTTCATTTAGAACAGACATAATGCTGCCCACTAAGTCTTTATTCTCTGTAGGCATGTCTCCCTTTTCCTGGCTTATGGAAATGCAGGTGATCAAATGTCACTTCAGTCCATTTCAGATGTAAACTGGAGTGGATAATGAGAAAATTAGATATGCACATAATTTGAATGCAGACACAAAAATGAAACTCTTGTGACTGGAAGTAATCTAAGTTTTGCATCTTTATCTAATGGCAGCACAAAAAATCTAGCACGATTTATGCCAGGCATTGTCAAACTGTGGCTTGACACCCCTTCCTCCCCCACTTCTTTGCCTACCAAACTGAAGGAGGTGGGAGCTTAGGGATAGGGACTTCTGCCAAGCAGGGAGGGTGGAGGGGTGTGTGTATCTCACGACATCAGACCTGTGGCAGATACACTGTGGGGCTGAAGCCCGGAGCCCCAGCATATATACTCCATAGCCTTAAGCCCTGGCTGTTGCCCTCTGTGGGGTTGAAGCCCCAAGTCCTAGCAGGCACGCCCTTACTCTCAATCTGCTGCAGATTGTCATATGTGGCTCAGGTGGTCAGTAAATTTGGCCACCTCTGAGTTATGCTATAGCCATGCTGGTTGTGTGCTCTGATAGTGCAGCACTTCCTCTTTCCATGCTGAAAATAAGAGATTTAGACTGTTCCACATGTTGGAGCAAATAGGTTATCATATCGGCCCCACAGTGTATCTGCCACAGGGCTGATGCCCTGAGATACATGACCCTCTCTCCCCTCCCTGCTTGGCAGAAGTCCCTAGCCCTAAGCTCTCACCTCCTTCAGTTTGACATAAATATTGCACTCCTGGATGCCAATGGCCAGTGTTTCTTTCACTCAGTTCAGGTTTGGGATCTTAGCACCATTGCTACTCAGATTATTTTATGTGCAATTATTGAACTGACTACTTTTGTCCATATTATTGGTGCTGAGATGATAAAGATAATGGCTGTGTTGTCCTTTAAATGCTATTTTTAAGTACATCAGAAGCTGGAAGCTTGCTAAGCAAGCAGTGAAAAATGTCACTTCAGTCCATTTCAGATGTAAACTGGAGTGGATAATGAGAAAATTAGATATGCACATAATTTGAATGCAGACACAAAAATGAAACTCTTGTGACTGGAAGTAATCTAAGTTTTGCATCTTTATCTAATGGCAGCACAAAAAATCTAGCACGATTTATGCCAGGCATTGTCAAACTGTGGCTTGACACCCCTTCCTCCCCCACTTCTTTGCCTACCAAACTGAAGGAGGTGGGAGCTTAGGGATAGGGACTTCTGCCAAGCAGGGAGGGTGGAGGGGTGTGTGTATCTCACGACATCAGACCTGTGGCAGATACACTGTGGGGCTGAAGCCCGGAGCCCCAGCATATATACTCCATAGCCTTAAGCCCTGGCTGTTGCCCTCTGTGGGGTTGAAGCCCCAAGTCCTAGCAGGCACGCCCTTACTCTCAATCTGCTGCAGATTGTCATATGTGGCTCAGGTGGTCAGTAAATTTGGCCACCTCTGAGTTATGCTATAGCCATGCTGGTTGTGTGCTCTGATAGTGCAGCACTTCCTCTTTCCATGCTGAAAATAAGAGATTTAGACTGTTCCACATGTTGGAGCAAATAGGTTATCATATCGGCCCCACAGTGTATCTGCCACAGGGCTGATGCCCTGAGATACATGACCCTCTCTCCCCTCCCTGCTTGGCAGAAGTCCCTAGCCCTAAGCTCTCACCTCCTTCAGTTTGACATAAATATTGCACTCCTGGATGCCAATGGCCAGTGTTTCTTTCACTCAGTTCAGGTTTGGGATCTTAGCACCATTGCTACTCAGATTATTTTATGTGCAATTATTGAACTGACTACTTTTGTCCATATTATTGGTGCTGAGATGATAAAGATAATGGCTGTGTTGTCCTTTAAATGCTATTTTTAAGTACATCAGAAGCTGGAAGCTTGCTAAGCAAGCAGTGAGACCACTGGATGATCGAGATGCTAAAGGAGCACTCAAAGGGGATAAGGCTGATATGCAGAAACTAAAAGAATTCTTTGCATCGGTCTCTGTTGAAGAGGATGTGAGGGGAATTCCCAGACCCAAGCCATTCTTTAGGTGACAGATCTAAGGAACTGTCACAGATTGGGGTGTCAACAGAGGAGGTTTTTTTAACAACCTTATCAAACAGTAGTAAGTCACCAGGACCATATGGTATTCACCCAAAAGTTCTGAAGGACCTCACATATGAAATTGCAGAACTAAAAACTGAGTTTTAATTTAAAATGAAGTAAGTTTGTGGGCCTTATTGCAAAAAAAAAAAAGCTTGAAAATATGATCCCAGTGCAGTTGATACAGTGTCATAGCGCTGAGAGGCATGTACTCCACATAAATGGGTTGTTAGTTCCATGATCCACTGCTCTGGGAGATATCCTCCAACAGATGACCATGTGGTAAGAGGAGAAGAGAGCAGTAGGCCAAGCCCAGCTACTCAGATGAAAAAACCCTGCTTGGTAAGTACCGGGCTCCCACTGCTGGCACTCCTGGGAGCTAGAATTATGCTGCTTCTGCCTCTTTAGGGCAAAGCTATGGGGGAGTTTTGCGGTCTGTCGTTCCTTTGCCCCTGAATGACCTTAATCTAGCTCTGATTTGGTTAGATCAGATCACATGGAAGCACGTTTTGCAGCCATTACACCTCCTTTTGAAGTGCTCTTAAATAAACAGAACTCTGAATTTCCTCTTCTTTTGGTAGTTAAAAGGATATTTTCATGCACTAGGTCTAAAGGTGTTTTTTTTTTTAAAGTTTTGCCCATATTCATACTATTAGCAATGTTTTTATCTTTTATGAATACAGTTTCCAGTCTAAATAACAACACTGCACTTCTGCTTGTGAGCCTATTCCCCAATATTTTCTTAAACACAAACCACTCGGTCTCAAAGGAAATGTTTGTTAATTTTTCCTTTCCCTCAACTTCATAGTTTTCATCATAATCAACCACATCCTTCTTTTGTTCTGTAATCATATCTTGCCATCTCCTTTGGCTCACTAACAATGCATGGAGAAAAAAATAGTTTTAAAATTCATTAGTTATTTTCTTTTGACCTATTAAATTCATTCTAGTAACTGTGGTGAAATACCTTAGAACTCTGAAAATCATTTGACTACAAAACACACAATATTTTGTGTAGGCTTTTAAAGGACTGATATCAACCAAATGTACACTATGTCAGATTTTTGACAGCTCTTTCAAGTTGACCTAATTTACAAGAAAGAACTACAGGAACTCTCCTTTTTTGCCCAGTGGGATTTTGTTATCAGAGAACTAAAACAAATATAAAAGAAAGAGTTTAAATATAATTGAAGTATCTAGCATGAAATGTATAGAGATAAGCGATCTATAGCCAAAGATTTAGGACTTTTTGAAATTTCAGGAATTCAGTAAATCTTTATATATCTTTGAAGCTTCTGTTCCACTATATTAATAAACCACAATAAATGCAAGTATGCTTGTTCATAAGCAAGGGGAGAAGGATTTTGCCCTTTGTGTAATGATCTCTACAGTCTGAATCAAATTCTGTCCTCTGAATTATTATACAAAAAAATTACAGACAAATTCCTACTTAAAACTCATTCCAGGGAGCAAAGAAGAGTGAAATATGAAAGTTCTCAGTATACTCATAAAAATTTTAAAGAAATATGTATTTCTATGGTGACTCTTCACTCTGAATCCTTTCTGACACATGCCACGCTTTTATTTTTGCAGGTAATGTCTCCAGTGAGAAAAATGGTGTTTCTTTCAATGTACAGAACGGCGATGTGTGTCTTCATGACTTCTCAGGAAAGCAACTCATATTTCATGAGAAGGATGATGCAGACCACAAAACAACCCGTGTTTCACTCAGAAGGACTTCAAAGAGGGGAAGCCTACATTTTATTAAGCAAATGTGATTTTATTTTATTTTATTTTTTGCATTCCACATTGTTTTACAATGTAAAACACAGATTTTTACTTGAACTATTTTATGTACTATGAGAAGACCAGAAACTGATCCTTCTTTAATGGACGGTACTGGAACCTTGACACAGGCAAATGTTGAGTTAATAAGAACAGTTATAATTTTTAAAAAAGTCATTGCTACTATTTGACAAGATACTTCAGATACTCCTTCACAATTGACACAATATCCAGTTTAGTTTTCCACTATTCCTATTTTGTGTTAAGATTTAAAGATTTGGTTGTAGACTCTTATTTTGTCAGTATATCTTACAATTAGTATATCTGAATACAGTACATAGTGTTGTATAAATGTAGCCGATTCTAAGTTATCGTTCAAAATGTTATATTGTCTACTACAGCATTTTTAGTTTATAGTAGAAGATTTTATAGCATTGTAAATAAGCAAAACAATATTCACCATTAGGCATTTTATGCTATTTTTATATTTATTTCTTGTAATATAAATTTTAAAACACTTCATTGTATAGACAAATAATTGATATTTTGTTTTAACTTTATTGTTAGAATGTAGGCAAAGTTGATTATTTCAATTAACTTCTGAAGCATCCTACATTGTGTATTTATAGGTAATTTGTTCAATATGTGAAATAACATAGTAGTTACGGTGCAGATTTGTTCACAGGACATGGAACTGTAAATATGAACCCTGTCACTATTGTATCACCAACTGGGACCCAGGAATATAGTGCATTGGTGTCTTATCAAAGGATGAAATTAATCAGGAAGAGTGATGGATAAAATAGGCAGTAGGCTATTAGATATACACTGGGGGCATGTCTACATGGCAGGGCTAAAGTTGATGAAGCTACTCAACTTCAGTTATGTCAATTGCATAGCTAAAGTCGAAATAGCTTTACTCGGCTTTTGGCACTGTCCACACAGCAGGAAGTCAAAGGAAGAACACTCTTCCTCCGACTTCCTTTACTCCTTGTGAAATGAGGGTTACAGGAGTTGGAGTAAGGAGTCCTCGAGCTCAACATTACTTTGAAATAAAGGCTTGCAGTGTAGATGTGTATTTTGTCAAAATAATGCTGCTGTGTAGATGTACACTTACAGTGAAATCCTAGACCCATTAAAGTCTATAGGCATTTCGCCATTGATTTCAGTGTGGTCACAATTTCTTTTCTAGTAGTTGTTACAGAGATAAATACATGGCCAATTCTCAACTGCAAGATTTAAAGAAAAATAATTATTGCTAAAAATAGTAGCTGTTATTCTTTAGTAGCCAAGCCAAGCATCTGTTTCTTTATTAGATGCTCTCAATAAAGCATCTCAAATCCTGAGCTATAATGCATGTTTCTGTTTGCTCTGTGGTACGTGCTCAGTCAAATCCTAAGGTCCTTACTCAGTGTTTACTCATTACCTACTCAGGTAAAACTTCTAATGACCTCCAATGAGCACTTATGAGGAGAGACTAAAAAGACTGGGACTTTCCAGCTTGGAAAAGAGATGACTAAGGGGGGATACGACAGGTGTATAAAATCATACATGGTATGGCGAAAGTGAATAAGGAAGTGCTATTTACTTCTTCACATAACATGAGAACTGAGGGTCAGCCAATGAACTGGGTAGGCAGCAGACTGAAAACAAACAGGACACAATGCAGTCAACCTATGGAACTCATTGTTTGTGATGTACAGATCAGAAATATAAAGGGGATCAGAAAAGAATTAGATAAGTGTATTGAGGCCAGGTCCATCAGTGACTATTAGTTGAGAAGGTCAGGGATACAACCTCCTGCTGTGGATGTTTGTAAACCTCTAATTGCCAGAAGCAGAGAATGGATGACAAAATGGATCTCTTGATAAAGTATCCTGTTCTGTTCATTCCCTCTGAAGCATCTGTCATTGGCCATTGTCGGAAAACAGGATGCTGGGCAAGGTGGACCATTGGTTTGACCCAGTATGGCCATTATATTCTTATGCTTGCCTGAATAAGGGCAGCAGGATTTGGCACTACATGCATATTATCTCAGACTAGATAGAGAATGCCTCCTTATGTTCTTGCACATGGGCTGGGTGTAGTTGGAATCCTTAGGTCCAGGGGTATAAAGACTGCTAGCAGCTCATACCCACAATGGTACTGGCCCCACTGAAGGAAATTACTAAGAGGCTGGATTACATCAGCCTCCAACAACAGAGGAATAAATGCTGTACATCCTTTGAGGGTAGTGCACTTGCAGCATTCCCTGGAAACAGCGTTCTAGAGTGGTGAGCGTTGGTACTGCTTCCTACTTTGGACTCTGTGGCAGTGCAGCAGTCTGAACCCTTAACATTCTCACAAATGTTAAGTCCTTTTGCATTGATACAACACAAGGGTTCTATTTGCCATCTATTTCTGATCCCGAACACATTTCCATAATGACAATTTGAAACATTTCTTCTATTTGCCCACAAGAAGTGTACCTGCACTGTGAACCACATGTAAGAATCATCATGGTACCAGAATAGAAACATAAATAATCTAGACGTGCATTTCTGTGAATGTTTTAACTTTCTGGCTAGAGGCCTTTGCACTGTTTCTTATAAAGTTATTTAATTTTCTTGTATTTATAGTTTCAAATGTAAACAAAATAAATGTGTAGTATGTAACTGGGATGAGCTGTGGAATTTATTTCATGTAGATAAATATGCAATTATAAATGTCTATTTCTCTGGATAACATGATCCGGGCTACATGTATCAGACCTCTATATTTGTTTTGGTTCCACCTTTCAAATTTTAGCAACTCTGCTCTTAGTAAAGTAGGTTTGAACATGATCCCACTTAGAGCTGGTCAGAGCCACCCTGCGAGTCTGCTGGAGATGAGAACATGGTGTGAGAAGTACCAAATGGCTATGTTTTTGTCTAGTATTCTGATTTCCTGAGAAAAAGCATGTTGCACCACTGCTTGGATTCTCAACTTGGTTTATTTTTGCATCCAGTGTGCCTGTGTATTTTTCATCCTTTTCAATTTCTTGTTTGCAATTATCACCTACATAAACCCTCTCTATTAAAATAGTATATATACCCTTCCCACTATGCTGCATCATTTTAGCTCAATGAATAAATATCCTGCCTCTAACCCCATCTGAGAAAAATGCCTATACAATCACCTTTGTAAAGACTCATTTGGTAGTGGTTAAAGAGATGTTCTGTATACACTTTCATCTGAAATGTCTCACACTCCCTCACGTGTTAAATGTCAGTGTAGTGGCTAAACATTTTAGTGTTGTATTAATCCAAGTTTTAAACAAAAATGGCAAATTATTAGCATTTTTACAGCCTCTTCCAACATGTGCCTGTCCAGGCACATGCTGGACTCTGCAGTTCTCCAATCAATAGCATTGCTATTTAAATGACATTTTCTATTCATCAGAATTTCTTTTAAACGGGCATGAAAGACTGTCCAGCAGTGTTTCTTGGCAGGGAGGCTACTGAATTGGCAGAAGAAACCACACCCCTTAGACTTATATTTACACAAGTTAAAAACAATTGCTTACTATTGAAGTCAAGGTGAATAAAAAATTTTTTATAATGCCCACTAAAGCACTGTTTGTTATACTGTCAAAGCCTGTGTCTTGTAGACGTGAACAGGTGGTTGAGAGGATGGGGAGGGGAGCTGGAAATGCTTGCCTCTGCTGCCAATCTGCCAAGTAGGGAAGAGGTGGCTGTCTAGGTGAACTGAAGGCAGAAAACTGTTGAGCTGCAGCAAGCAGGAGAAGGGGGAAAGAGAGAAGAACCCAGAATAATTGTTTTAGTCCCTGCTACTATATTAAGATAGCCATTGCCAAAATATTATTTATACTGTTCCCTGGGGTTTGCATGACATATTACTGACAAATACTGTGATGTCCTTCTTAGGGGCTGAGTGTGTAAACCACACGAGTGAAGGGGTGTGTTGCTATCATCTCTGTAACCTTGACTGTCTTGTGATGCTTTGCTTCTGTAGACTCACTACCTGGACCACTCATAACATAGGTAATACACATGTTTCCCCAGCCTCTACACAACCCCACTCTGGTTTCCATCTCCCTTCGTTATTACTTGCAGGGTGACCTGAACACATGCCCATCCTGAATTTGCTAAACTATTTGTTCCTTAATGTCATCCAGCCCTCTCCTGGATAATTCAGACAGATGGTTAATTTATTCTTTTAAATACACAAACATATCACAACTTATTAACTATGGTGAGTACATCCTCCTTTTAAAATACTGAGTTGATTTATAGTAAAATAAACTTATTAACACTAGGACATAGGTTAGGTGATGCTACGTAAGAAGGATAAAATTAGAAAAGATTATAAGCAAAAGTGAAAATGCATCAAATTCTAAAACAACCTAGGCTACAGTCTTAGGACTCATCTAGACTACGTGGAACAGTCGAAAGAGGACATGTCTCCGATCACGCTTTCAAAAGTGAAAGTAGTTTAGACGCGGCTTTTTTGGCAAACCACTCCCCTTGTCGAAAAGCCGTATAAACCTCCTTTTTTGAGGAACAGCGGCTTTTCGACAAAGGGGGGCGGTTCGCCAAAAAAGCCACGTCTAAACTACTTTCACTTTTGAAAGCTCCACTTTCGAAAGTGCAGTCAGAAGAGGATATGCAAATACCTGCTGAATTTGCATATCCTCTTTTGACTGTTGCGTGTAGTCTAGATAAGCCCTCTGTTTATTTCTCTCACCTATCTTCCTTCTTCCCAGCCATGGCTAAATTTTCCTCTGTTAGGACTTTTCACAGTAATAGAAGGTGTCCTTTTCCTTGTCGTCTTAGTTGAAGGGTCTTTATGTAAGCAAATTTCTCTTCTTTATTCAGTTCCAGAGACTAGGGATGTGTCTAGACTAAAGGGTTTTGTCGACAAAAGTGGACTTTTGTCAACAAAACTATACCTGCATCTATATTACCGCCGAGTTCTGTTGACATAACGTCAACAGAACTCAACAGTTTTGCGACGGTGGTAAACCTCATTCTACGAAGAATAACGCCTTTTGTCAACAAAGTTCCATCGACAGAAGGCGTTATTGCATTTACACTGTCCTTTGTGTCTACACTGTCATGTCAACAAAGCGGCTTGCTTTGTTGACAGAACTGGATGTAGTCTAGACGCTCTTTGTCAACAGAAGTTTTGTCGACAGTATCTGTCAACAAAGCCTCTGTCGACAAAAGCATGTACTCTAGATGTACCCTTGGTTTAAAGACTCATCTCTATAAGCTTGCAAGAGAGTTGTTCCTCTTTGAGCAGTGTCCCTAGGTGAACGTGTCCCCTCACGTGTTTAAAAACCAGCTCCCTTCATGGACCAGCTGCCTGCCGCTCCACGCTGCTGCTTCTGATACAGTTCGGACCCCCCCGCAGACGGGCTGCTGTTGTGAAGCAGCCTTCCCCACCCTTCCCTTTCCCCTTCCCCCGTTGCTGCCACTGATAGAGGCAGCACCAGGGTGGGAGGGCAGGCAGCACTGTGGAGCCAGTGATGGGGGCAATTGGCTTTTAAGCTGGCTTCCCCCAGCATCAGCTCCTGCTTCCCCCCTTGGTGCCTCTGATACAAACTGGTGGTGTCATTTCCTGTTCCAAGGCCTCTTCCTGTTCAAAACATGGTGCCTCTGATAAGAAACAGTGGCGTGGGGGGAGGAGGAGGAAATGCAAGTAATTGAATAAATTAACTGATAAGCCTAGGTTAGTCATCTACACAACTACTCGTTGACATCCCTATTATCAACCCATCTCACTTCTTCCTTGCTGGAACATGGAGAGGCCAGAAGACAAAGAGAAAAGAGCTTTTTCATCATGCCACTCTTCTCTCATACAAATTACTTCAAAATTAGGCCTACCTGTACAGCCTAAATCTCACCACAGGATTGACACCCAGACCTAGTATGTCCACCCAGGGATGTTATGACATTTCCCTACTGGAGCCCCTTGTGGAGGGTGGGGGGAATCTCACAGGAAATAAATACCCCAGGCCCTCAAGGTCTATAGGTAGAGGATTAGACCTCTCCCACTGCACCATCAGAACCCCGCTGTTTTTACGCAAAAACCTTGTAGTGTAGACGTAGACCCAGTGTACAAGCTCTGCCTCATATACCCAACAAACAAAACCACTGACAGAAACCTCCAAGACATCAACCACCTACAACTCAATCACTGGCATCCCAGAAACACTCTGCAAAACAACAATTTTGAGGGTTTGGTCAGGGTTCCCAGAACCTCTCCCATTCCTCAGTGCTGACATCATCATTGACCATCTCCACTTTGGACACACTTTGGCCCCTTCCCATTCAATGTGGAAATCCATCACCATGGACAAATGGGTTCTAGAAAAAATCCACATGAGTTATTCAGTACCATTCTCCTCCATCCTTGCTCCCTGTCCCTCTTCAGGAACCCTTTCAAACATGGTAACAAATGAACCACCACCTACATCTGGGCACCATGGAGCCAGTATCATCATCATAACACAGAGAGAAGGCATTTTATTCCCACTATGTCTTAACCTAGAAAAAGAACAGAGGTTGGAGACCTGTTCTAGACTTCAGAAAAATTTAGCAAATTGGTAAGAATGGTCATAATAGCAATACTATTATTAGCACTGGAAAAGGAAGACAGATTCTCACTACAGATGTTAAAATGTATTTAATTAAGTAACCTTGTAATCACTGAAAGTTTCAGCAGTTACATGGTTACATGTATGGTGGAAGTTGGCTCCCTGGGAGCCAGCGCATACAGGGAACTGGCTTTTAAGCCAACTCCCCATGCATACCAGGAGCCTGTGTGTAACTGTGAATGTTAACTAATGAGCCCAGGCTTATTGGCTAACCATGTACAGTAAAACTCCAATAGTCCGGCATCCAACTGTTTGGCACTCCCGATACTCTGGCATCAAAATGCCAAGTGCTCCTGACCAGCTGATTAAAAAGCCTGCTGCTCAGCACAGGTGCTGGCTGTAACCAGAGGGAGCATAAGGCTAGGGGAGAGGGGGGAGGGAGTGGGATTGTGTTACAGTATGGAGAAGAGCGTTTTGCTTCAGCAAAGGGGAAAGGGGAGGGGAGGGGAGAGGATGGGGAGGAGGATCAGGTTACTGCATGGAGGAGATGCGAAGAGGAAAGGGGAGGAGAGAGAGAGGGAGATTGTGTCCTGGCCAGCTGTTAAGCTGTGCAGCTGTACCGGACCTCCTGATTCTCTGGCAAATCTGATAATCCAGCACCACCTAGGTCCAAAAGGTGCCTGATTATCGGAAGTCTACTGTACATGGTTACACTTTCACATCCCTTGTTCTCACCTCTCAGCCTCCAAGGTGCCTATTTTCACATAACTGTATACCTCACTCAAAAGAAAGTTCCTCAAATTTACTCTAGGAACAGAACATTATCAATACAAAATTCTACTTCTGGCCTTTTTATAGCACTTTGGGTATTTTCCAAAATGATCATAATAGTAACAGCACATCTCCCCAAGCAGGAAAATAATCCATCCAATCACAAATTCTCCTTGGTTACTCACCCTGGGCACTTACCTTCTCTTCCTTTGTGTCTGTCTAGTGATGGATGCCAGACATGGCTTCTTCCATTGCTTGTATCTTCCAAAGTTCAGTGAGCTTTTTTCAAAAGGCAGAATGACC